AATATTAAATTATTATTTTAAAATTTTATAATTTATATTTAATAATTTTAGTATAATTAAAAAATTTATATACTTTTATTTAAATTTAGTATCTCAATTATAACTTTAAATTTAAATTCAAGTATAACATATAAATTAAAAATAATAATATAATTATATTTTTTTAAAATATAATATATATTAATTATTTTTTTATTATATTATAGTGTTTTATTTATTATTATTATTATTATTATTATTATTGAGGATAAAATATGAATTTCAGTTGAAAAATATTTTTAAATTTATTTCATAAGTTATCCTTAATGTGCTTATGAAAAAAAAAAATTTAAATCTATAAAATTATTTTCTCTTTTAGATAAAGGTCAATGGAAATAGGCACAAAATATATATATATTTTTTTTTAAATAGAAACAAAATACTGTTGCTAAAAATCAATCCAAAAAAGGCCTTAGTTATATAGATTCAAGTTTTAATTTTGTACAAATATAACTATTATGAAAAATAAAAACATATGGCTACGATGCGATCTTTTAAAATAAGATATTGCAACTTAGATCTAATTAATTATATTCTTCTAAAAAATAAATTATATTATGATTAGGCTTCGAGGGTGTTTGACAAATAGTTTTTTGAAAAAATTTTAGTTGTTTAACTGGTCAAATAACTAATTTAGGTATTTGGTAAATTACTTTTTTGAAATAGTTTTTTTTACAAAAAAAAACTAATTTCTGAAAAGTTAATTTACCCAACGTTTTAAATAGCTTTTTCAGTTTTAAATTTTTTTATTCTTTATTTGCCCTTGAAAACTTATTATGCATTTTACACAAATAAATATATTTTGATTATTTATTAATTATATTAGAATATTTTATTATATTATAGTTTTACTTTTATAAACTTAAAATAATTAATTTTTATATATAAATTATTTTTTAATTGTAAAATATATAAATTTATTAAAATCAACATAATATAGAAAATATAAATATTAAATAATTTATTTTTATATTAAAATTATATTATATAAATTCTATACTAAAAATAAATTAAATTTATTGAAAATTAAAAATATAATGAGTTGATTCATGATTAACATAATAAATATATACAAAACAAATTTATTATTTTATATTTTACATCATTTACAATAGAAAAAATTATTTATATTTTTCAATAAAAATATATTATTTTTTAAATTTAACTATAATAAAAAAAAATACTATTTTATAACACTTTTACAATTTTCAATATTAATAACAAAAAATTTCAAATATCCTAAACTCAAAAGAACACAATTGAATATATTAAAAAAAAAAAAACAAATGTCTTCAATTATCATTTTACGTGTAAATAGCTCGTATCAAACAGTTATTTTACCAAACATTTTAATACAAACAGCTAATCGAACCAGCTAGTCAAGCCGGCTAATTGAATCAGCTAACAATTATCAGCTAATTGAATCACCTAACAGCTAACCTATCAGCTAATTGCCAAACACGCCCTTCGCATAAGAGAAACTTGAACTAAGAGTGTGTTTGACAATTAGCAGATAACGGTTAGCTATTAGCTGATTCGATTAGCTAGTTTGACTAGCTTGTTTAATTAGTTGTTTGTATTAAAGTATTTGGTAAAATAGTTGTTTGATATTAACTATTTATACATAAAAAGACAATTAAGGATATTTTATATTTTATTTTTAAAATATTTATTAATTGAGTTTTTTCAGCGATTTCAAAAATTAGAAAAAAAAATTATTAAGATATTTATTTTTATTATTTTTAAAATCTTTTGAAAAAAAATAATACAAGCTTATTGAAAAATATTTTTCTTCATTAAAAATAATATAAATATAAAAGAACAAAAATAGTTAGTATATGTATTTTTATTATATTAATTAATTAATATATATTTACATTAACTTTATAATATTAAATAAATATATTTATTTTTACTAAAAATATTATATAATAAAAAATACTATATAAATGAATCAATAATATTAATATTTTTATATTATTTTTATTTAAAAAAGAAAAACATTTATAATAAGATAATTGACATATAAAAAATAATTATTTTAAATTTATAATATAAATAAGTTATTAGAAGAAAATATATCTAAATAAATAATAAATAGTATAATAAAAAATAATATTAATATATGTGAAATAACTAATTAAATTTAAGGACAAATATGGAATAAGAAAAATTAAAATAAAAAAGTTAATATGAAAAATTGAGATATACAATTTTTTCAAAATTAGTTTTTTGGACCCAATAAGTTGATTGAAAATGATAATTTACCAAACACCAAAATTAGCTAATTTATCTGTCAAACAACTAAAATCTTTTCAATAAGTTAAAAGCTATTGATAAAACTGTTTACCAAACGTCCTCTAAGTATGCTATTGATATACCATGGGTGTATTTGTTTGGGGGATTGGATTGGATTGGATTGGATTTGATTGGATTTAGACTATTTATCCAATTTTTTTCCCCAAAATATCAAATCAAACACCTATTCTTTATTTTTTATATTATCCTAAAATTCAATTTTACATTCAAAACATCGTATTAACACCTATTTATATCACATCATACGACTATTCAAATTCAAAATTTTTATTATCCAAATATCAACTCAAAATCCAAACTCCCAAACAAACACACTTATCACTGAAAACTTGTCTTTGAACAGTAAATTTGGATGTGTTTGTTTGGAAAATTTTCTCTAAACTTTATTATTCATTCCACTTTTTTTTTCTCAAAAACATCAAATCAAATATTTATTTTTTATTTTTTCTATTATACTAAAAATTAATTTTTCATTCAAAATATCGTGTCAATACCTACTTATATTATATCATACACCTATTTACATTCAAAATATTTACCATTCAAATCTCGCTCTAAAACCAAACCCCCAGACACACCCTAATTATATTTAGAGTTAGTTGGACGTTTCAAATTTTGAGTTTTTTTTTTTTTTTTTAACCGGCTCAAGAAAACCCTTAGGTAGTTTGCACTTGTTAGATTAAATAAAATAAAAGGACGTGAGGAAGTGAAGCAAATGTAGATAAATTGAATGGAATTAATTAGAAGAATAAAACAAATGTAATACAAGAAATAAAGAACAAAAAGGAAACAAAAAAAAAAACAAAAAAAGGAAAAATGATGTAGTTGTAAATTTTGAATGTTGTGATTGTATTGGTTTGGTTATTCTAATACTTATTTTTCAAATGTGATTTCCAAAAAATAATACTCTCTCCGTCCTGGTGTGACGTTTTTTTTTTTCACGTAGATTTTTTAATATTAGTATTATATTAGATGATAATAAAAAAGACCAAAATAACCCTATTAGTATGGTGTAATATAAAAGTAATGACATTGGTGTAATATATTGTAAGTTGAAAGGGTATTTATTATGTTAAGTAGGTAGTACAATTACTAAATTAGAAAATGGTAACTGTTTTGGGACGGACGAAAATGAAAAACGGTAACTTTTCAATGGGACGGAGGGAGTAATATAAAATACAAAATATTTTTTTATAAAAATTAAAAAAAATTCAAATACTTACTTTGATATATTTAATTTAAAATAATACTCCCTTTGTCCAGTTAAAAAAATATACATATTTTTATTTTGAGACGTTCAATTACAAAGTAAACATTTTATTAAATACTTTATTTTTTTTTCCACAATTTCTCTTACTTTTACATCACATCATTATTTTTACACCAAAAAATAAGTGCAAAAATGTCATTACACTACTTTTAACTATTCACTATAATTAAAATATTATTATTGCTTAAACATCACGCCAAAAGTAAATGTATACTTTATATATGGATCGAAGAAGTATATTTTATATTTTTTACACAATTCTTCGTACCGTATAACCAAAATCAATTCATTTAAAAATGGTGGGTGAATTGATCCATTGCTTCTCTTCTTCAAGTCCCATTCATTCATTTTAATTCCACTTGTAGTTCATTAAGGTCTTCACTCATATACTATTGTCATTAGGTATAGGTTTATTAACTCAAATAACTTTATTCATATATCATTACAAATCAAGGACTGCTTCTCATCTCATCATTTACAATCTCTTTTACTTCTCTAAATTTTCACATGCATGTTTTTGACAATATGGATTTTTCTCATTAAGTCTATATGCTTTTAGTTCAAGGTTAATACTTTCATGAGTTCCTTTTTAATTTAGCTTTCAAAGCTAGCTAATATCACATTCTCTAGTATCATCCCATAAGTCATCTCCAACCCTCCACTCTATTTTTGCAGTTGCTACAGTAAAAAAATGCAGTTGATCTACAGTAATTTTACTCCCACCATAAACTTCAATTTTTATTTTAATATATTCCCTATATATTCCTCTTTTATATTATTTTATATAACTTTTCATATTTATAAATTAAATCATAACTTTAATTTAATTTACATTAAATCCATACACATATAATTTATATTACTTTTCAACAGTAAAATTATATATCAATTTAGAAAATAAAATTATACATTATTTTTTTAAAAAATAAAATTATATTACTTTCTAAAAACTAAAATTATATCACTTTTAAAAAATAAAATTATACATTATTTTTCAAAAAAATAAAATTATATACAACTTTTTAAAATATAAAATTATATATCATCTACTAAAAAATTAAAATTACACAATACACCCAAAAAATACTAAAAATATAAAAAACACCACAAAAATTCCACTAAAAAAATAGAGTGGAGTAACAGTATTACTCCATTTGTTTATATCTGCAAAAATGGGGGAAATTTGGGGTTGAATTGGAGCCAGCCCAAACACAAAATACTATTTTCCTTAGCGTCCTCCTCCTCTACATTGCCTACTAAACAAACACTATTTTAATTTTAATATTCCAAATTTAATATTATTTTGCCTCCTTAGCTCGGTAAAAATCCGTCCCCTCCCCTCCCTTCTGTTAAAATGGAAGCCACTGCCGCCACTCCATATTATCCTCTTCTTCCCTCTCTCTCTTCAATTTTCATTTCCTCTTTCCATTCCCTTTTCCTTCTTCTTCTTCTTGTCTTCCCTCGTCTTCTCCGGCGCTGGACATCAGTCCCGACCGACGCTACCGGGAATTTCCCTAGAGAAAGGAAATGTGAGCCGGTCGCCTTCATTTCACTCTTATTCTATCGCAACCTCCTCTTCACCGCGTCGCCCGCCGGAGAGTGCTCGTGTGTGCAAGGAAGCTGAGCCGGAGGCGGAGGCAGGAAGGGCTTATGCCACCGCATCTTCTCCGGTACACCTTCTCTTTCATTTAGGCGATTTTGGTATTTGATAATGGATGAAAATGTTAGGGTAACTGCATTGTATTTATAGGAGAAGGAGAAAGGTGTTGGGTGTTTGATAAATGTAGCATATGCCTGCGGCTTACAACATCAACTTAGATTTGAGAATCGAGCTTCGTCATCCATGGACTGGACGAATGGAATCTTATAGTATTTTCGAGTTTTCAAGTTGGTGAAAGCTTTCAGCATTCACCCGCAAGAGCAGTCATTCGAATTGAGATTGGAATTTGGACTGGGTGGTATCCGGAAATTTGGTAAGCATTATTGAATCTATCTGTAAATAATTTTAGGTTAAAAATCAGAAATTTTGGTTCATCTGTTGTTTGTGTGTGCTCCATATTTATTTGCAAGATTTCACAAGTTCATTTCTTTAACTTTAGCATTTGAATTCGTTGGTTGGTTACCACTATTGCAGGAAATTTTCTCCTTACTTTTTCTTCTTTGCCCCTGCTGTTTTTCTTCTTCACTTGCTGCTGTTTGCCCGAGTGGGAGCACAAATTGCTCGTATTTATGTTGTTTGTTGAAGAGTTTGGAAGTGATTGAATTAGTGGTGCTTGGAATTTCATATACAATTTGTTTGCTTGATGCTGCCTCCATTGGTATTTTCTTCAAATTCGGGGCATTTTGCTCCGAGTTTATTCCCCATAAATTGCCCTTCCTGTCGTCAAGACAAGAATCTTTCAAATGCCTTTGGTAGCAATTTTTGCGCAATCACGGCTTCCCATCCAAAGCGATCGAAGGCTCTTAGTGGTGGTGCGAGTAATGATGGGAAGGCTGGGAAGGTGGAAAATTCAAAATATAAGTGGGTTAAGACAGGACCTAATCTGATGATCGAGGAACATAAACTGACTATGTCGAATAAGATTCCGGAAAAGATGTCGAATCGTTGCAAAGCCTTGATGAAGCAGATAATTTGCTTTTCAAGTGAAAGTGGGAGTGTTGCACATATGTTGGGTGCTTGGGTGAAGAGCACTACTCCTCGAAGAGCAGATTGGCTTGCTGTTCTTAAAGAATTAGAGGCCATGAATCATCCATTGTACTTCCAGGTTTGGCCTTCCCTTCCCTTTCCTTCCTTTTGAACATTTGATTTTCAGTTACATTTTGCTTTTCTTGGCTATAGTACGATGCTTTTGTTGGAAAAATTGGAATAATGTAATAATGAAATATAAGAACTACAAAAACAATCAATTTTATAACAACTCTAAATACAATTTTTATCTTGTACTCCCTTCGTCCCAAAAGTATTGGTTGATTTGTGTTGGATACATGAATTAATGAATATTGATATTATATTTGTAGGGGTTAGAAAATATGGAATTAACTTTTTTGTGTTTGTGAATTTGTTTTAATTTAAGTGTAAAAATTAGTGGCATTGTGAAATAATAATGAGAAAAGAAGAGTAGTTTTTGTGGTGGGACATGGTAAAACATGACTATTGAATTGGGACGGTAGAGTAAAATAATTGATAAGACAAGTAATAAATCAATAGAAATACAAATAGAAGGGAATAAATATAGCCAAGTCGGGGAGCTAGCAGAGTGATCTACCATCGGCTGTGCTTGCCCATTAGATTGTCCACCAAGAGAAAATGATTGGAGATAAATATCTAATTTCGGGAGAGGAAAAGCTCTATTATGAGAAAAATCACTTCTGAAGGTCTAAGAGTAAGAGTTAGACTATTTATAAACTATTTCACTCAACCAAATAGAGAAAACTTCCTTAATTGTGAAAGAATCATAATTAATGAATCAAGCATAATTAAAAATCCGACCATTCTGTAAGTGCCTATATCTTAGATAGATTGATCTTAAAACGTAATGTATTTGGTTCTTGTTTAGTTCTTTCGATGGTGTAAATTAGCCTAGTTTGATTTGATATTCTCATTTTGTCTGTTCTAAGATGAGTTATGCGCTTTGATTTGAAAAACTTGGCACACAAACAGTGTGAAATGTACTTCTCAATGTTAATCTCACATGAGCATCACGAAAAATCGTCAGCCTGTGTATTTCCTGAAAGTGTATTTGAATCCACAGGTGGCCGAACATGCCTTCACAGAGGAATCATTTGAAGCCAACATCCGCGACTACACCAAGATAATTCATCAATATGCGAAGCAGAACATGTTACCTGAAGCTGAGAACACTCTAGCAACCTTGAAGAGCAGAGGGTTCCTCTGCGATCAAGTGACGCTAACAGCTCTAGTCCACATGTACAGCAAGTCCGGTAATCTCAAGCAGGCAGAAGACTCGTTTGAAGAGATGAGGTTACTCGGCGTGCCATTAGACAGAAGATCGTACGGCTCCATGATCATGGCCTACATTAGAGCCGGAATGCTACCCTGTGCAGAGACCTTACTGGCAGAAATGGAAGCTCAAGAAATTTACGCGGGCCGAGAAGTTTACAAGGCTCTCTTAAGAGCTCATTCAATAATTGGTAACAGTGAAGCTGCACAAAGGGTTTTCGATGCAATCCAAATGGCAGGCATTGTCCCCGATGCTAGGATATGTGGGCTTCTCATAAATGCCTACCTTGTCTCGGGTCAAACCCGTGAAGCGAGCATGGTGTTTAAAAATATGAGAACTGCTGGTGTTGAGCCAAATGACAAGTGTGTGGCGCTGGCTTTGGCTGCGTATGAAATGGAGAACAAACCGAAGGAGGCGTTGGATATGGTGACTGAGTTGGATAGAAATGACGTCGTGCTCGGAGAAGAAGCTTCGGAATTGCTTGTGAAGTGGTTTCAGAGGCTGGGGATTGTTGAAGAAGTCGAAACACTCGGCAAGACATCTAAGGTAATACATACATACTTGTAAGTACGATCTATTTCTAGTTTCTAAAGGGTGATGGAAAATGTTTTGAAATGTGAGTTTGGTTTTTTTAAACTTTTTAAATTGAATGCCTTTTTAAGTTGTATTTTATTTGATTTTTTATTTGACTTTGATGTATGTTTCTAGAGTAGTAGTGTTGGTTGCAATGAAGAATTGGACATTCTTAGACTTTAAATGACAACCATACTTCCGATAACTTTTAAGACTCTTGTGTACTTTTAGGGGGAGTTTACTTCGAAGGATTAGGTCGGATAATACTGTTTTATCTGACCTAATATCATATTTACTTTAATGTACTCGAGTCTGAGATAATGTTTTTTTATCCGACGTAATATCATATTTACTTTTTTTAGGGGGCGTTCAATATCATGTTTACTTTACAAGCTATTTTGATCTGAATTGAATAAATAGTGCTGGAGTTTGAAATGTATTTAGATAGAAATTTTAAGTAATGTTGATTGATGATGTAAAAATAAAATAGTGATTTCATATATTTAATTTGATTTTATAAATATATTAATACAAATATAATGAATATGAATAAAATTTTATATAATACAATATGGTTCTAGTCTAGTACCTTTGGAGTTAATTCAGTTTTGGACATTGACAGGACTAGAGCTAGTCTGCTTTTTTGGACTTGAGATTGCAGCTTACACCTCCAATCAATGGTTCTAGTGAGTCTTTCTGCCTCCTTCCACTCCATTGCTGTGCTGTGCCTGTAGATGGATAAAATTCTTCTTTCTTTCATGTTGTTCTGATCAAATTATGAGCATAAAACCGAAAAGGGGCAGTAAAGTAATATATAACCAACCACGCTTTCGGTTGGCCCCTAGGCCGGACTGTAGCTGATGCCGGGCTTGCTCACTATTTTTTTAACTTCTTACTAAATTTACATAATATTTTTAATTTATTATACTATCAAAATACTATTATTATTATTTTTTATTTTTCAGAGTACAAAGAAAGATGTATAAATATGAAGCTGCGCATTTTACTTTCCTTTCTCTGAATGATAATAATAATAATAAATGAATTATTCATATTTGAAAATTAAGACTAAATTGCACAAAATTTATCAGTAGTTTCACGAATTTGTGTCAAACTCTCTCTGCCTCTAATCCTCCTTGGTTGTCCTTATTTAATATTATTTGATCTAAATGGGTATAAGTTTTAAAATATTAATTTTTAAATTCCTAAAATTACAAATATATTTATTTTTCTTATATTTAATCTAAAAAAAACAGTAAAAATAACTCTTAACACCTAAAGAAATAACTATTTTTAATATATTTATTATTTTTTGAGACTAAATATAAGGAAAATCAATATATTTGTAATTTTAGAGGCTTATAAATTGATATTCTAAAATGTATTTGCGCATTTAGGTTAAATACCGTTAAATAAGAACCATCAAGAGGTTAGACGCATGAAAAAATTTGACACAGTTTTAGAAGTACAGGGGATTTGGCTCAATTTTATGAAACTATATAGTAAATTTTGTGCAATTTAACCAAAAATTAAAATGGCATGTTATGTCTGGATTGTGGAGTAGTAAAGCATAAGTACATGAGTTGAGCAGAAAGTGCATAACAGCAGCAGGTTAGGTTATAGGTTAGTTGGCTGAATGTCAGCTCATCTTGACCAGCGAGTGATGAGTACATTACATTACATGACATTGGCTGGTGCACTGGTAATGTGGTCATGGCCTGCTGAGCAACGTATCTATCTATCTATCTATCTATCTATCTGTAATATACTAGGATTAGCAAATCATGTCTATTGTAGGTGGGGAAAACAACAAGTAAGATGTACCTATACTAGCCAGTAAACACATGTACATGTATGCAGCAGCAACTATCAAACAGCCAAAGACAACTTTTTCTTTCTTGCAGTAACTATCTGAATTTGAACTATGCAGTATGCAGCAATCATTTCACAACATGATGAACATTTCTTGCACTAATGTAGTGATTGGTGTGGTTTTTAGTACCATAATCTTCAATCAAGTAAAATAAATATGCATTCATATTTAATCTTCCCTTTTTTACATTCATGCAAAACACAGTCAATTATCTAGGCAGGTTCCAAGCAAAGAATATTGGCAATGCTTCAAAGACCAAGTGATGAAATTACCCGGGGCGATCGAAATTTTACTCCATCTCTATAGAAAAGAGGGAGGAAAAGGAAAGCAGGCAAGCTGCAATCCCAGCTGAGGTCCTTGCAAGAAATCCAGCCATTCTCCAGGCATATATCCGACTAAAAACATAAGAGAATGTGTCATTTCCGATGCCCGAGAGAGATCCAAAGCAACTTCAACCAAGAAACCTTTAATTCACTCCAGTAGAGTTGTTTCAGGAAGTGCAGTCACCAATAATCCTTGCAAGAACATGTACCATCCCTAAAATGATGAAATCTATTCGCATCCCTAACAATGATTTCACGTCCGGTGACTTTTGCAATTAACTTAATGCTCGTATGGCAGTCCCCACAAACCCTCAGGTTTTTCATCACTCGAATAGGCACCCCTTTGGGAATCTTCACAAGTCCAAACACTACAGCCAACTTCTCACTATGAAGTCTTAAGCTCTGTGCCTTCTCTTCATCATCGACATCATGAAGAGCAAAGGCACCATCGGGGTTATACCCAGTCTCTCTCAACATCGCACCTAACTTCTCCCACATCTTAATGATCTCCATATGTTCGATATGTAACTTAGTCTCTCCACCAGAAAATACATGTACTTCCTTATCCACTTCAATCCAGCTATACCCGGGCAACTTTCTTACCTTCCAAGACCTCATGTTTTCCCTCAACTTTGCGACATCCCCCCACCTGCCTTTTGAAGCATAAATATTTGATAATAGGACATGAGGACCAGCATTCTTTGGCTCAAGCTCAAGAAGTTTCTTAGCAGCAACTTCAGCCAGATCAGCATTCATGTGGTTCCTGCAAGCGCCCATCAGAGAACCCCAAACAACAGCATCGGGCTCTACCAGCATCCCGTTGATCAAATCCATAGCCTCATTCAATTGGCCAGCTCGCCCGAGCAGGTCAACCATGCAAGCATAATGCTCGGTGGTTGGCTCAACGCTATATTTTGACTTCATGGCCTCGAATATCTCTTTCCCTTCTTTAACTTTTCCCCTGTAGCTGCAAGCAGAGAGAATTCCGATAAATGTTATTTCATCTGCTTGGATGCCTGATAAAGCCATTTCCCTGAATGAATCAAGAGCTTCGTCTCCCAAACCGTGCTGGGCATAACCTGTGATCATAGCATTCCACATTACTACATCCCTGTCGGAGAATCTATCGAAAAGCATTTTGGCATTGACCATATCACCACATTTCATGTACATGGTAATCAAGACAGATGACAGATATACATCATTGTCTAACTTCGATCTTAACACTTGAGCATGAATCTGTCTGCCATGATCTAAAATGGCGAGACTGGCACAAACTGAAAGAATGCTGATTAACGACGGGAAATGAGGCCTAACTCCCTTCTCCTGCATCAAGCGAAACACATCGAGTGCTTTCAATTCAAACCCTCTCCGCTCATAAATCTTAATCATGGCATTCCATGTCCCTTCATCTTTTTCCCTCATCAAATCAAAAACTCTCCGCGCTTTAGCCACCTCTCCACACTCCCCCAATGCCGTAATCATAGCATTGCAGGCAACAACTGGTTTGGTTGGCATCGTGTTGAAAAGCTCCAAGGCATCCTCAATCCTCCCGCATTGAGTGTAGCCCATGAGCATCGCTGTCCATGTAACCTCGTTTCGTCCAGGCATGACCTCAAATAGTTTCCTAGCAACATCTACCTTTCCATTTTGCACATATCCTGAGATCATTGTAGTCCAGGAAACCACATTTTTCCGCGGCATGTCATCGAAAATCCGTCGAGCCTCATCCAAATGACCCTGGGAGCACAGCCCACCTATCATACTAGTTCTAGCTACAATATCCTTAACTGGCATCAAATTGTAAAGACTCCTTGCCTCATTGATTCGACCTTGACGAATCAGTCCCTCCAACATAACTGTCCATGATACAACATTCCTCTCCGGCATATTCCAAAATAATGCCTCCGCCTCGGAAATCATCCCCTCCATCACGTAACCTTTAACCATGGCAGTCCAGGATATGACATTCCTTTCAGGCATTACGTCGAACACTTGTCTAGCTTTCATCACCATTCCGTTCTTTATGTAACCAGAAATTAGCCCGTTCCAAGAAACAGTATTTCTCTGCGGCATTTCTTCGAACAGACGTTGAGCTTCCTCGGGCTGGGTGTTCTGAAAGTAGCCAGAGATAATAGAGTTCCATGTAGCGATGGTTTTTTCGGGAATTTGATCGAACAGTTTTCGTGCAGTGTGGATTTCTCCCAGGCGAACGTAATACGCAATTTGAGAGGAAGCCGGGATTGCAGCGGTCAAACAGTATCTTCGACATTGGATAAACAATTGATGCAATGGCCGAAATTTGGTCATATGTTGGACTGCGATAAAACAGGAAGACAGTAATCGAGTGGAGACAGCAAGCAAGCGTGACGAGAGTCAGATACAAAGAGGTAGATGAAGACGAATACGATTGAATACAATCAGCCCGGTTAGAGGAAGACGAAGCCTGCAACTGCAAGCGCAGACGGTGAGAAGGAAAACCGGCGACGACGAAGAAACACGGCGCGGCCACTGGACGAGTTAGATGAGGGGTTCTTTTTTTTTTCTTAAGAAAAAAAAATCAAATTGTGGATTTACCCAATCAAGTTTTCCCATAAATTTAGAGTGAATTTACATTATTCATTTTTTTTTTAAAAGAAAAATAAAAAATCAAATGCCTATTTTTTATTTTTTATTTTTTTTTATGATTAATCTAATAAAATGAAAGAAAATCAAATCTGGATGGCTATAATCTAATACCAAATTTCTTGCTATTATATCATAAATTTTTTGCATTTCTTTTTTTTTTTTAAAAAAAATTTCATATTGCATTTTTTTTACCTTTTTACTGTTTTAAATATAATTTGAAAAAATAAAAATAAAAGCAAATTTATGAAAAACAATTACCAAACACTACATCCTATATAATTATGTCAAAAATAAATCAATCATTTTTATTGGGAGTCTACCACATTTTGTAAAAAAAAAAAAAAAAAAAAAAAAAAAAAAAAAAAAAGAAGAGGGGAAAAGAAAAAAGTAAACACAGTTTTGAGTTTGTCTGTTTATTTAATTTATTTTTATCTAATTTGTATTATTTTTATTTTGTGCATCATTTTCTTCTATTCTTTGTGTTTGGATACTAATTCAAGTCTTAGAAAAATTAGAACACATAATCCACACTTATACGCCCCTCTACCTGGTACGAGACGTCCAAAACTAAATTCGTGCGAACTCGGCTCAAAATGGAGAATATTCTATTAATGTTGACCCAAATTTGGCCTAAAATTTTAGATCCAAACACGACACAAATTCTTTCAGGTCGAGTTAGATTAGCCATATGACGGTGTTGTATTGGCCTACTCCCGCAAGAGCACTGCAGACGTAAGATTCTCTCATCTATCTTCTCGGTTTAGTAGATCCTACTCCCGCGAGCAGTGCTCCCAGCGAGCAGTGCTCCTGCGGGAGTAGGCCAATTCTAATATTTTATGATATTTTCGTAAACAAAATATATCGAAATTCTTGATCTATCAACAGCACCTGTGTTGGATTGTTCAGATGAATGCAGCTGTGGCCGAAGCAGAGGAGCCCAAGTGGTGGCAAAGAGACACGAGCCCGAACATGATCGATGTCCACTCGACTCAAGATCGACGCCCTGAGTCGAGCCGAGGACAGGCTAGTCATCGTAGAGTTCTACACAACATGGTGCGCTTCATGCCGCGCATTATTTCCCAAGGTGATCAATTCTGCTTCTCTTGTATATATAGTGTCTGAATTTCCTTGTTAGGACAACATTAGTACATTACGATACTCTTATCCGAGGTTGCCTAAATCAGCTCTGCAAGACAGCCGAAGAACATCCAGAAATTGTGTTCTTGAAAGTGGACTACGACGAAAACAAGCCTATGCGCAAGAGATTGAATGTTAAGGTTCTACCTTAATTCTTGCTCCCTCGCAAAAAGTAAGTGAAATTAGACTATGCTTCGATGAGATCACAACCCTAAATAATAATATAGTTTTTAACTAATATAATTTTGGTATTTTTATTTACTAATATTGAATATATTTTTATTATCTACAAGTGTATTTCATAAATTTATATAAATTATATAAATTAATAATAATAAAAAAAAAATTTACAATCCAATCAAATCTATGAAAATTCATTTAAATCAATAACTAAAATTCAACAAACTTTCTGTATGTACCATAAATCCACATAAATTTAGAGTACATACAGAAATACACCTTTTAATCTTATTAATCTCTGCAACTAAAATATCACTATATTAAAATTTTAAATTCCTGAACTACACTTATTAATGTCAACCACACAATTAAAATTCAGGAATAGTCTACGAAATTTCAATATGTTGTTGAATCTTAAAAAAGAACGGATTAGCAAGACACTAGTAACCATATGTATCCGAAAAAAATTATTGGATACAAAATTTTTTTTAACTAATATCATAACAAATTTATCTAAACTTTATGATCAGATAAGATATGTTTCTTAAACATCCCGTCAAAAACAAATTATATATATATCCTACGTTTACCTCATTGAAAACTCTTACAAAACTTTCGTCAAGAAAAACGAAAAGCATAACAAAGTACAACCATGGAAATTAACAACGATCAAGAGATGTCGAGAGCTTCGAATCATTTCGTGTATATGATGGGCAGAAGATATGAATTATATGATTCGGACAGGATTTGTGATAGAATAGTACGAAAAATAATACTCATGAACAACAGCGAAGGAGATTCAGTTCTTACAAGAGTAGGTTTAGTTATCGCCACTCATTTTGCGATCGACCAGGAGATCGTGTATCTGAGACACAGTTGAGGTGGATTTAGCGCTGATTGGACGCTGGAAAATGAACATGACCTGTTCTCTGCGATAATTTGTCTCATAAGGGCAGCTGATAGAGAATTTAATGTATGAGCTGAATTTTATTGTCGTAGAAGATCCTCGTCAGCATAATGATGGTTTGTCCGATGAAATTATTGATGGATATTTAAAGGAAAGGAATTTTAGCGGCGCGGCGGCGCTGGATGAAGAAGCGCAGTTGTGCATTGTGTGTCAAGACGATTTTTGGGAAGGCTTAATATGGACATGTGTATCATATTGATTGCATAAAGAACTGGCTTCGACTCAACAATACTTGCCCGCTCTGCAGAGCTATCTCTGTGAATTCGTAAATATTAGTAAAATAATTGGTTTGTTCATTTTGTATATATATATATATATATTAATGTAACTTGTCTCTATCTCTTTTTGAGTTCTATAAAATATTCTCACAAAAATGGGATTTTTTTTTTTTTATGTTAAACGTAAAAAAGTTGTGTTGATAATATAAAAAATATTTTTTTTCTCTCATGTAAATTTATGTCCATTTAACATGGCACAATTTTTTAAAAAATGGGTAAAAATGGAATTTTATTTTATAGTAAAAAAAAGGGTATTCTTTTACTAAAAGATGAATACATGAATAATTAAAAATGACAAAAAATTTAAATGACAGAGAAAACAATATTTTATATTAAATTATTATTTTCTTAAATAGATAAAATATATTTTCTCCGTTCCATAACTATAATTCGTTTATTTTTTCATGTAGATTTAGAAATATTAATATTATATTGGAATATAGTAGGAATAAAGTATAAATAACTAAAATAACTTTTGTGCGATATAAAGATAATAAAATTTGTGTAATATATTATAAATTGTGAGTGTATTTATAATATTAGTCGGATAGTATAATTATTTAAAAAAAATAAAAATTAACCGGCACAGTTGGTATACTTTAATGAAGTTAAAAATTCGAAAAATTAATTGCCTGAATTCCAACTTATTCCTTTGAGCCTTTGCCTATTCTTGGACAATAGACAATTCCCAAGCTCAAGGATATTACAAATTTTGCCAACATTTATTGTTGAACAAAAATTGATTTTTTTAGATTGAAGGATTGGATTTTAAATACACTATTTATAATTTTTTTTTTCTTAAAAAAATATCAAATCAAATACCTATTTTTTATTTTTTATATTATACTAAAAATCAATTTTACATTCAAAACATCACATCAACACTTATTTATATCACATCATACAACTATTCAAATTCAAAATTTTTACTATTCAAATCTAAACTCAAAATTAAAATCCCCAAACAAAAACCCTTAGAAGATTTGATATAGCTAGAAGGCACTTAGAAATAAGTCATTTCTGACACAGTTGGAACTTGGAGAAACAACTTTAGATATTGGAACAAGAATTCGAGAATATAAGATCATCCCATCGGAGGAGATGCGCCACATCACTATTTTAAAAAAAAAATTAAAAGATATTTTGCCTCCCAGCATTTCTGATGTTATCCAATTGTTATGTGTCTCAAAATTGGAACACATGACACTTATGTATATATATATGTATATATATATATATGATATATATTATATATGTTTTGTTTTTGTAATTTATATTAAATTTATTGTTATATTTAAATTTTGTAATATTTTTATAATTCATAATATTTTGTATTCTACAAAATGATACCGATATTGAATATATTTTATAAATTTAAATTTTAAAATATATAAATACAAATATTATATAATTCTATTGAACAAATCAATATTAATAAATTTAATTTAATTTATTAAATATAATATAATTATAAATTTTAAAGCAATTAAATAATATAAAATTATATTAAACAATAAATATATTTAGTTTATAACGAATTATACATCAACAACTCAAAGCAGATTTGATTGAAAGTATATGACAAAAATTTGGTTCAATGAATAATTAAGTTATTTGTTCTTATTTTAATTTTAAATATTTCTATTGTAATTGCAATGTAATGTAATATTTCCTTAAAAAAATTTAATTATTATTTTTATATTTTATTTTTTTAATTAACCAATAATAATTATAACAATAAAAATACAAATTTGATATTAAAAATAAAATTTAAAAATAAATTAAAACTAAATTTAATTAAATAATAAATAAATATAAAATTTTTCCCATAATTTTTTAATAAATCAAAATATTGACAAATAATAATATAATATAATATAATATAATAATAAAATAAATAAATAATACTAAAAATTAAAACTATGATTAAAAAATAATATATATATAATATGAAAATAAAAATTTATTAAAAAATTAGGATGAATATCTTTGTTGTCCATATAAAATAAAATAGAAGAGATATCTCCATTGATGTGGCATAGAGAGAAAGTAATGTGGATAATGAAAAATAGTGGAGATAGCGAGTATCTCCATTGCGAATGGTCTAAAAGATAGTCGCAAATTTATTAACCAAGTAATAGAAAATTCTTAAGTAACAAAACAGTTTCACAAAATGATGGTGAGAAAAGACAATTAAAAAAGGGAAAGGCATAAGCTTGCCACAAATCCACCACATACATGTTTTGAATCCTGCTCATCAGAGCATCTCCAACCGACCTCTATTTATGGTGTTTCAACCCCATTTTTGCCGCGATGCTGCTCCAACCATACGCCATTTTATGCACCAAATTTAGAGTTTGCTACAGTGCAACACTATTTTTTGTGTTGCACTGTAGCAAACGCCATTTATTTATTTATTATTTTTATTTATTTATTTTTTAAAATTATAAATTTAATTTTTAAATTTAATTTTTATTTTTAAATTTTTTAAAATTTTATTTTAAATTATAAAAATAAAAAGTTGTTTAAAATAATAGGAAAAATTGAATATTCGAAGAACAACAGTGAAAAATGGAATTATAGTTGGAGTAAAATTACTGTAGCAACTGCATATTGGAGTTAAAATCGGATAAATGGAGATGATGGGTTGGAGATGGCCTTAATGTCGAGTTCATTAGAATCCTGCTTTGTGTTTTGTATGACTTTAAAAACAAGGCATGGAGTTCATATTTGTACCTTGCGTTGGCGGAAGCTGCACAGATGCAGCATATATACTTTATCTTCACTTTTAACTCTGTGTTTACTAATTTGCTTGAGCTTTCATCTCCATTTTTTGTTGATGAAGAATCGATTGGGCAAGGAGGAGACACAAGAGAGTCGTTTGGAAAATGGACAAAAACAAATGGTTGGCACAGCGGTGGCAACAGGACAAAGAAAGAGTGGGTGAAGGGCTAAAAAGTCATTTTGCGAGAACGGCATAAAAGACAATTCATGTGGTAGATTGGTACAATCTAATATATATATATATATATAAAAGATATTGGGTGTGTTTCTTTTGATGAGTTTGGAAAAAAAATTGTTTGGGTTTGATATGAAAATAATGTTTGATGGGATATTTTGTGATATGAAAAAATGTATTTTTTTCGAAAAACGCAGAATCCAAATAGTAAAATTCGAGAAAATTGACTTAAAGAAAACTCTTACAACCATGGAAATTAACAAAACTGACTTATAATTGAAAACTCTTACAAAACCTCCGTCAAGAAAAACAAAAAAGCATAACAAAGTATAACCATGGAAATTAACAACGATCAAGAGATATCAACGGCTTCTAATCTTTTCGAGTATCTGATGGGCAGAAGATATGAATCATATGATTCGGACAGGATTCGTGTGATAGAATCGTACGAGAAATAGTCCTCATGAACAGCGGCGAAAGAGATTCAGCTCTTACAAGAGATGATTTGATTGGGCCATTCATTTTGCCATCGACCAGGAAATCACGTATCAGAGAGACAGTCGAGGTGGATTTAGCGCTGATTGGACGCCGGCAAATGAACAGGCCCTGTTCTCTGCGATAATTTGTCTCATAAGAGTCTTGTTTTTTAATATGATCGCGAATCTAATGTATGAGCTGAATTTAATTCTCGGAGAAGATCTTCATCAGCATAATGATGGTTTGTCCGATGAAACTATTGATGGATATTTGAAGGAGAGGAATTTTAGCCGCGTGGCGGCGCCGAATGAAGAAACGCAGTTGTGCATTGTATGTCGAGACAATCTTCGGAAGGAAGTCGAGACTAAGGAGATCGCACCGCTTGAATGTGGACACTTATATCATGTCGATTGCATAAAGAAGTGGCTTCGACTCAACAATACTTGCCCGCTCTACAGAGCTATCTGTGTGAGTTCGTAAATATTAGTAAAACAATTGGTTTATTCGTTTTGTATATATATTTTTTAATGGAAGTTGTCTCTTTATCTCTTTTTTTAGTTCTATAAAATATTCTTACAAAATGGATTTTTTTTTTTTAAATGTTAGACGTGAAAAAATTGTATTTGTAATATAAAAAATATTTTCTCATCTCATGTAAATTTATGCCCATTTAACAGGACACGAATTTTTAAAAAAATGAGTAAAAATAATTTTTATTTTTTTTTATGATAAAGAAATAGAAAACGTAATTTTTTTTTACTAAAAAAACTAAGAATAAATATGGACGACAACAAAAGAAAAAAAATTTTAAAATGACATAGAAATAAAATTTTATATTGAATTATCAATTTTTTAAAATAGACAAAATATATTATATATATTTATTAATAACTGTATACCATATTTTTTTTAATAATATATTGAAATTTTTTCCAACATAAAAGGTATAAAGAACAAGCCAATATATCCATGCAAATGTATATGAACTAGGGTGTGACACTGTTCATTCAGTTTTTTTCAATAGAATAATTTTTCATAAATATTACTCCTTCCGTTATTTTTTACACTGTAGACACAGTATTTTAGAAGGAGTGTAATTAGTAGATAATTAAAAATATATTAGTGGAAATAATTATTCTATAATATAAATAATTATAAATTAAGATTATGATAACTAATTACTTTAATTAAAATAAAAAACAATAAATTAAAAAGTTCAAAATGAGATTAAAGTGTATAATCATTTTCCAAAAAAGGAAAGTGATATGAAATATGGGACGGATAGAAACGGCTACGTGGACATAGTATGTGGGACGGAAGAAATATTAAAAAATATAAATTTATAAGCACGTTAATATAATATATATTATCCATTCATAAAAAATCAATCATTTAATACAAAATATTATTTTTTATATTTTGACAGTCCCATACCACAAAAAAAAATATCATTAATCTAAAAATATTAATTGAAACTAATGCTTTTGAAGTAAATATTTTAGTTATTTACAATAATGGAATAATTATATATCTAATAAATTAATTTATTTGTTAAAGAATATATGAAATAATAATAGTGTGATAAATAAAATATTAAAAACTATAGTTATCAACTGTATTAAAAGTTTATTTTATTTTTATTTTTCCTTTCAACACTAGTGTATATGTATTCAAATAGAATAATATATTATAAAAATGGGTAAAATTATTTTTTTAGTCCCTGTCTAACCTCCTTTATTATTTTAGGATTTAAGTGGGCCCTGAAAATAGTCTCTTAAGTAAAAATTTTTTCGCTAAAATGGTCCTCCGGTGCCGGAGTCGCCACGCTGGCAGCCGTTGCTGACGTGGTGCTGACGTGGCTAATATGTCATAGCCACGTAGATGTCATATCGGAGGACCATTTTAGCGAAAATTTTTTACATACAGGACTATTTTGAGACAAAGTCCATTTAAAATAGAGCTGGCAAAAACTGACCCGACACAACAACCTGACACGAAATAATTGGGTTTGGATCAAAGATTTCAACCCGATTATGTATACAGGTTGACACGAACCCGACACGATGGGGTTGAGGCTCTCAACTCGAACCTAACACGACAACCCGATTATAATATATTAAATATTGATTAATACATTTATTATATATATAAAATAATCATAATTTAATAATTTTTTTCATAAATTAATTTAAACTAAGTTCAATTTTAAATAATTCAACCTAATTTACACTCAAACCAATAAAAACTAACATAACACGACAACAAAACAAAAACTTATTTAATTATGTATACGGGTCAACACGAGTCAACACGAGTCAACCCGAGTCAACCCGAACTCGACACGAACTCGAGTCAACACGACAAGAAATTAGACTTAATTATGTATACGGGTCAACACGAGTCAACCCGAACTCGACACGATAATAAACGGGTTAACACGAATCCGACACGCTAATAAATGGGTCGGGTTAGGGTTGAGTAATTTAACCCGTTTAAAGTATTCAACCCGACACGAATCGACCCATTGCCAGCTATAATTTAAATGTCCTAAAATTAATAAAAAAGATCATATACGGGACTAAAAAAATATTTTACCAAGATATTTTGTGAAATTAAAAAAAAAAATTCACGTATCGCTGACGTGGCAATGACATGACAGCCACGTCAGCAACGGCAGACCAGCGTGGCTACTCCGCCACCGGAGGACCATTTTAGCGAAAAATTTTTACTTATGGGACTATTTTCAGACATGATCTACTTAAAATCCTAAAATGATAAATGTGGTCAGATACGAGACTAAAAAAACAGTTTACTCAACTTATTTTTTTGTTGTATTATTGACTTTTGTAGAAAAATAAAGTACTCCATTTGTCCCACTCCATGTTAATGTTTCTGTCCGTCCCACATTTCATGTCATTTTTCTTTTCTGAAAAATGATAATGTATATTAATCTCATTTTAAATTTTCTAATTTAATTTTTTTAATTTTAATTAAACCAATTAATTATCTTAATCTTAATTTATATTATATGTTAATTATTTTCATTAATACATTCTTAATTATCTATTAATTATATTTATTTTAAATTCTCGTGTTTACGGTAATCAATACAATGTGAGACGCGGGAGTATATATTAGATATAGTATGTGGATAAATATATATGATATATTTTTTTATTAATATTCATTGATAATTATGTAAACTATTTCATATACCGTCCAATTCACTCTTAAATGAGTTTTTATACATAATTGTAATTCATTTTTTGTTTTTATTTTTTTTTTTATAATACACAAAAAAATTTAAACATTGTCTTTCACTTCCTGTTATTTCTTGTTATACAATTTGGACATTAACTATTATTATTGTTAATTGCAAAAATTTAAACATAGTCTTTCACTTCTTTTTATAAAAATTCGGACAATCAACTATTATTATTGCTGTGAGAAATTAACAATCAATAGTAAACCATCTTATCACGATCCAACCGTCCTTATTAATTATGTAGAGTGTGCGTCGTGACTTTATTTTACACTAAAAATTAATTTTATTTTTAAAAATATTACATAAACAAATATTTATATACTACCAAATAATGACTTTAATTTAAGTTTATACTATTTAGATTATTTTCATTGTATACTAAAAATCAATTTCACCTTTAAAATATTACATAAATACGTAACTATATAACATCAAATAATGATTCAAATTTACAAATTAACTATTTTAATATTTAAATCAAAAATTCAAATTCCAAAACAAAAGACTAATCATTTGAGATTGTTCAACTTCACGAGGATTGTGTCCTTTTTGCAAAGAAGAATTAGAACGCGTACAACGACTCAGTTCTAGACTTGGTCGATGGGCTTTATCGATATGGGCCTGTCAGAGAGTCCATTTTTACCAACCGCAATGGCCGTGTTCTCGACATTAAATTCTCGATCTCATATCGACGGAGATATGGTGCAGGCAAAGCCATGTCGAGGGGGAAGAAGAGTGACCTTTCATTCTCTTTCTCTTGCTTTTCCCTTTTCTTCTCTCTGTAAAATCCAATTTATATATTGTCCCTTTCTTCCCTCTTTTCTTCCTCTCCTCTCATTCCCGTAAATGTAGAAATTACCTTTGTTCGCACTGTCCAGGAAATAACCTAGACTAGCAGTCGGAAGCGGTTCATCATCAACCATCGAAGAGTTATTGCAGAAGAAGGCTGAATACAGATAACCAATTTATCTTAGAAGTTGCAATTCAATAGTTCCAATAATAATTTCTTAATATGGTACAACCGATTTCATTGAAAAGTAGAAAAATTGGGAAGTAACTTGTATTTTGGCGTGGGAGTGGCGCCGATTTGTTAATAGATGCATTAGGGTTTTTTTTGTGAGCATTTCGATTATCCATTTATGGAGTGGGAGTGGCGAATCAAGAAGATGCTTTTACGGTTGCAGAGGTTTATTCAGTGAGTTTTTTTTTTCGGTTGGTGTTCTAGCTTTAAAATTAGCTAATGTTTTGCCATACAATGAATTTAGCCAATTCCTCGGTTATCTAATGTATTGTGGGGCTCAATTATATCATCTAAAATGTAGACAAGAACAAGATTCGTAATTATCAAATTTATAGTATAAAAAAAATGGTGAATTAGTGTTTTATCTTTCCCACATCCAAGTTCCATTACATCCAATATTGCAATCTTGCAGTTTCGATTTTGTTAGAAATAAAGTTCGGATTTCTGGTTGTATTTTAGTAACGTATAGTACATGTTTTAACTCTGAAAGTTTGTCGTCACTTTATTTTCACATTCAAAAAAGTGGCCGAAGTTTTTGTTTAAAGGACTCAATTTTGTAAAAAAAACAGAGTAAATTCAGGTCAACACAAATTTGTGGTTGTATTGTACACTATTAGATGGTGTTGCAAAGATCTTGGCTGCATTATAGTGGACTTACAACTACAATACATTATTGACGTATATGTTATTAAATAAGTATCTGTATTCGAATGGTTGGGTTTCATATACGTTGTGGTTTACACAAGAATGCATTTGATTTTGTTGTAGCTACACACATGTAGAACCATTAGCATTTGTATATGACTATATGTAATTGACGGAGCTGGGGTTTTCCGTGGGCTTCTTTATATTCACCTGGTTGGAATTTATGCATCCCATTACATCATGTTAAACATGCATGGCCCTAGAGTAACTATTACCCTCCATTTTGCAGTGAACACGGATGGTTTCTTGCAATGTGTTCAACAATGTCCCATGACGGAGATGATTATACGGTTGATGGCGATAGAGTCGAAGGCCTCGGAGAGCTGAATGAGACATGGAACAGGGTTCAGTCTGAATCTCACAATCCATTCCAGCATGACCATGGGCCGAGAATCATGGCGACACAACAAACAACATTCCCTAGCCATTATACTATGAGTTTCAGTCAGTCTTTTCCCCAGGTGCAGTACATGCCATAGCGGAGTAAACCTCTGTTCTATCCGAACATGTGGAATTTCTTGGGTCCGGGAGGCACGTCATCACTTCCTCACCCGGAGACCCAGTCCTCGCAGCTGAAGACTGCTCCCTCTACTACAAGCCGGCGACTTTTCTCAACAGAAACACCTAGTCATCACAACAGTGCAAGTAGAGTAACGGGAAGTACGTAAACAAGAACTGGACCACAGAGGAGGACGTGGAACTGGCTACGGCGTGGTGTAATATTACAACAGATGCCCGGATAGGTGTAGGCCAGAAGAGACAGAAACTATAGGAGCATGTTTGTGAGAGTTTTGCCTTGTTGATGGAAGAGAATCACGGGGTACCGACAACTGAAAATAAAAGATCCCCGGGTGCTTGTGAGAATCGAATGACGGAGATCAAATCACAATGCTCGAAATGGTGTGCAATATGGGTGCATGCAGAAGGGCAATATCGGAGTGGTTGGAGTTCCGCCGATTTTGTAAGTTGACATAAAGCTACGAAATGTGCATTGAATTTTAGTTGGCAGCCTCTTGTAACTTTGGTAAACATTTACTTTGTCAGGAACAATACTGCGAGGAGATATATTACGAGAAGCATGGGATGACTTTCAAATGCCAGCTTTTTGGTGTATTTTGAAGGATGAACCGAAGTAGATGAAATATGTCTTCAGGAGAAAGACGCGGCCGAGCAAGCCAAAAACTACAGGGGAGAACGAAAGAGGTTGTGAGCGATGCTCCATGCAAAGGGAATCTCACGAGCAGTCACCCGTAACACCAGTTGACATCTCTGATGATGGTGTACATGTTGACATTGAAGGCTCGGATAAGGGGTCTAGACATACTGTGTTGACTGGTCCGGCTGTGCGTGTCATGGAGCGGCCACTGGAGGCTAAGAAGGCGAAGGCCAACGGAAAAGTTAATAACCAACATCAACGCAAAATCAGACAGCATGAAGAGTCTCAAGCGTCAGCAACGCGCATTATCACTGCTAGTCTCATGGCATTCGATTTTTCGCAAGCGGAAAGGTGGTCTAAGATTAAAGAGAATGAAACAAGGCGCGAAAAGCTGATAGAAGAACAATCGAGCGAACAGGTAATTAGGCATTGTCATTTCATGAAATACACCATAATTCATTATCACTACATCGCAGGAACTCAATTAACAATCGATTCATTAACGTACGGACTAATGGAGTTTAGCACTCGGCAAGGATGGCCCGAGAAATTGTGCAACTGACCAGGGATTTGGCAAAAATCGGTGAGGAAATGATTGTTGCCTTCCGTAAGTTTGAGGAGTTGGATCCGGCGAAGCTGGCAACCGAATCATCACGGAAAAAGTACGCCATCAGGCGAGAACAACTTGAGTACTACACGGATGCACACAATGGTATTCATCAACATTGGTTCCATTGTTTCATGTTAATTTAACTATAATAAAAATGTAGTGAAACTAGTCAGCTGTCGTTCAGGCGTCAAGGCGGCCATCGCGACCATCAAGAGGCATTAGGGCCAACAACAAAACGTAGGTGAATCGAGCCTTTTCCCAAGTGGAGGGAAAAAGCGTAGTAGGCGTGAAACCCCTGATAAAAGTAGCTTCTAGTTAGAGTGCCGTTGATCGACCAGTGCTGTAAGTTTCGACATGGAATTGTCTCTTGGGCCAACGAGCGTAGTGACGTGTAACTGTGTTTTTTCCTAGTGTATTTTTAGGATATTTGTTTAATCATTCACTACGGCACGCACAAAGGACCCTAGTGTGTTTTATTGTATCATAGTTCCGTGAGAAGTTTGGCGTGTTTCGGTTGAATATCCAGGCAGCTGAATGTACTTTTCATGTTGGTTTGCAGTGTTATTCATTACTTTCTTTATTGTTTATTGTTCATTTTACGTGGGTACAGGACATGTTGCTGTACCAATTCAGTGATGTGTCGACTTGAGTGGACAATTCAATGTTTCATACCTGCCCAAATAATAAATAAGTTGTCTTGTTCTAGGAATTTCCATTACACACAAGAACCACCAAATACACAGAGGGGCAGAAAAAAAGAAATAAATTAGTTGACCTCTTCATCTCTCTATATATACAAATCCAGCACCTCAACCATTATGAGTGTCGAACTAAGAGCCACAGCCTCCTAGACCTTCAATTTTATAGCGCAAATGGATGGATAGCAGAGAAGAAGAATCTGAACACGAAAATGAGGCACCATCGTTCTGGACGGCGGAACGCCAAAGAGCCGACGCAAGACGACGGAGACGGATGCGATTGCGGCTACTCGAGCGAGAACAACTTAAACGTTTTCATGCCGTATTACCTTTGCTTACAAATGTGATCGATGCTACTGCACCAACGCGAAGGACCTATATTTACCGCGATCGAGAGGGAAGGCATGAAGAGTTATGGACGGACTATCTATCCCAGACTCATCGTTTTCCTGCATCATTTTCTCGGTAGAGGTTTCGGATGCGGCGTGAGCTTTTCACTCGGATATTATCAGATATGTGTAGTAACAATCGCTATTTCACGCAGAAGCCTGATTGTACGAACCGCCTAAGACATTCCCCGCTCCAAAAAGTGATGGCTGCTATACGGGTGCACGGGTATGGGTGTTGTTTTGATAGTGCAGACGAAGTCATAAAGATTGGAGGTAGCTCAATTCGATGGGCAACAATGGAGTTTTGTGAAACAATCGTTCGAGTTTACAAAGAACAATATTTACGTGATCCAACGCCTGATGATATATCCCGCCTTCTGTCTGAAAATAAAGCTCGTGGGTTTCTCGGGATGATAGACTCACTTGATTGTATGCATTGAATGTGGGATGTATGCCCAATTGCCTAGCGAGGTCAATATAATGGACGTTACAGCTACCCTACGTTAATTTTGGAGGTTGCTGCTTCGCAGGATCTTTGGATATGACATGCATTTTTCGGGATGCCCGGAAACAACAACGACGTCACTGTTTTGGACCACTCGCCATTGTTCGACAAATACATGAATGGGATAGCACCGCCGGTTGACTATGAGGTTAATGGTTCAGTATACAACCTTCCCTACTACTTGACAGATGGGATTTATCCCAAACATGCTATCTTCATGCAAGCTGTTAGGAATCCTGTGACAGCGAAAGAGCGTGCATTTACAAGACTACAAGAGGCTTGTCGGAAGGACATTGAGAGGGCATTCGGCGTACTCCAGCAAAAGTGGAGAGTACTGCGCGTTCCGGCAAGACTAGAACAACTGAAAGATCTTCTTCTGGTTATGACAACGTGTATCATCTTGTATAATATGGTGGTAGAAGACGAGCGTGGGCAAAACCTGCCGGAGTGGGTGCCAACTAACAACGAGGACCAAAGCGCTGTGTACAGTTCACAGTCCGTGGAGGAAGTCCGCATGCTATACCGAGTACGAATGGGCAGACTCTGTAACACAAGCACAAATGCGAAGCTACAAGAGGATCTAATTAATTACCAATGGATGCTGAGTGGGGGTGAAAGTATCTTTTAAAACATTTACAGCAGGGAGAATGTGTTCCCTGTCTGATCATCGTCGTGTGCATGCTTTCCTACCATCTATAAGAACCACGTCAACCAACTTATAGTACGCAAAAACAAAATCACTATCTAACGATGATCTGAGCTGAGCGCGTAACTGTAAAATCCATTTTTACCCTCTGCATGTTCGCAACGATCCTCTTGTTTGCCCTTTGTTTTATCCCTTCGCTCATCCCCTGGACAAAAATAATAATTGGGAGCTACTCCGAGCAACCATTTACACTACAAATTTGAAGATAACTACAATAGTGGTAACAACATTAGACATTAAACCAGCAAATACGTTCATAGCAAACATTACGAGTGTACATCGATAGTTACTAAATAGTCGCAAACACCTTCCGTACAATACAAACAACGTTGGCTTAATGGTTTGCCAACAAACCAATGCCACACCATTAGAGTAGATAGACGTTGCAGTCAAAATAAGAACACACAAACAATGATCACTACAGAAATTACAATATTCGCGATCAAAAGGTATTCATGCCTCATGAGAGTTGATGTCTGCGATTTCTTTAGCCCGGACGGGTAGAAACAACAATCACTAGGCCTCCCACCACGCCTCGATATGGCACTAGACTCCCCAGAATGAAAGGACGTTTCCCTCTTGTGACCAAACTCACAGTCCGGATGTTCTTTGTCAACATCCTCCAATCCTAGCCAATTGCCACACGGATGACAACGGTAGTACCATCTGCCCGGGTTTTTTTCACTCCTCGAACGATTTAAAGAAGCTTCCCCTCCACACACACACCGGGGTCTCATTTTTGTAGTAGATGTTTATCCGTCTGCTGTATCCAAACAAAATAATTTGTAGAATATCGAATTTCACATTATTGTTCTATTAACAGGTATTGGTAATAACCAACGCAGTTGAAGGAAAAAGTTAAGAATATGTTCAAGCAGAAATGTGGACAACGCTATTCTCACAGCTTTCATAGTACCCGTGCTGAAGCGAAACTACTCTAAGAAGAAGAAGAGATTAGTTAAATTATATGTGCACCTATATATACCGAAATCTATCAATTAACAATAAAAACATAAACAATCGAGCTCCGAAACTTCCCAATCTCAAATGAATGTGGTGTTCTAACTCGTGAAGAATCTATTTTATGAAAAAACCGAAATTACTTCAAACTAAGGTACGTGTGCGAATATATGCCTTGAAATCTTTCCACAAAATTGTTATTACGAACAGACACCAAAGGAAGAACAAGAAATGGTTGGCCAGAGTGATGAACTAATTTTCTAAGTATTTGGTGTGAGGATTATGTCCAGAAAATGGAAATATCACAACAAAATGGAGGAATCACTTACAAGGGCATGCGAACCTGAGGCGCCGTCTCCGACGGAGGAGTTGGAACCCTAGGAACCTACGAGCGAATTTTTGGTGAGAAGAAAGGTATGAGTGAAATAATTTTTTATTTTATTTTATCAAAAAATAAACTTGTACGATCTATCGAAAAAGGCTACTATGGGATTTCTCTCACCTCCATCCATCCAGTATTGTATACCAGATATGCCACGTCATTAGTAGCCTGACACGTAACTCACTCGATGGAGAAATTGTAAAAAGCCGTTGTACGCGCTCTTAGAGCAATCACAATAACCGCTTTGTATAGACGGATTCTTAGCCTGACATCGAAGGCTTCCTTAATTCGCTCAAAATTTTTTATGCGCAGCGACTTTAGTTTTGACTCTCCAAAATCGATTCTCCGTTGTAGCCAACCTAGTGCAGACGACGACACTTCCAAGTATATTTTCTCTCAATTTTTTATTTTTTTTTCTCTCTTCTCACTTCAGTTCTCTCTACACTCGCCTTCCACGCTGCCGAGAGCTACTGTGCGATTTTTTGAACGATGGACTTAATGATCCTTTGACACGTTGGAGAAGAAGACTATAGAGGCATTTAACTAGGGTAGGTCATTGTATGCGCTCAGGGGTGGGAACAGCCAGACCCTCTGTTAAGAGAGATAAAATTTTTGTTTTTACATTGTATTAAATAAAAATAGAAAATTGCTCTAACCTACTTACAATCATGAAGATTTCACCATTGAGAGTGCTATTTTTAGTTTTTCATTTATTTATTTCTTATTATAAATTAATGTATAAATTATATTTATGTTCTATTTATTTAGGTGAGAGAGTGCTCTAACCTACTTGCTCAAGTGTTCTTACAGTCTATCTATAAGTTGCATGGCTTACCTTACAAAGCCATTTCTGACAGAGACAAAGTATTTACTAGTCAATTTTGGCAATAGATATTTAAGGTGTTGGGGATTGAGTAAAGGCTAAGCACCGCATACCATCCACAAGTTGATGACCATATTGAGAGAGTAATAAGTTCTTAGAGTCTTACCTCAGGTGCATGTAGTTTTAATACTAAGCAGTGGTACAACTGGCTCCCTATAACAGAATTGTGGTATAATACCTCCTACCACACTTCACTGGGTACCACCCCATTTTACGTATTATATAGTTTTCATCTTATACAAATGACTCTTTGGCCCTATACCTTCTATCAATGGGGAAGGGGTTTATAGGTTGGTAGCCAATTGATAACAAGCTCAACACCTACTTAAGCAAGTCCTATTTGCAGAACAATTTTGTATGAAACATTATGCAGATCCTCATCACTGTGAACGCAAATTTGAAGAAAGGGAGTTGGTTTACCTCAAGTTGAATCCTTATCGTTAGCTTTCACTTCATTTTAGGGGTGTTTCGAAGTTAAGCCCCAAGTACCCTGTCCCATTCAAGATCTTGGCTCGTTTTGGTCCTGTCGCCTATCGCTTAGAGTTAGCCACATTTGCTCGCTTTCATCCAATCTTCTATGTCTCTCTCCTGAAGAAACATGTCGGCCCGCCGGCTCCTGTCACTGCTTCCTCGCCTATTTTAATGAAAGGACATCAATTCAAATCCTAGATTTTTGAATTGAGAGAGATCAAGAATTCTCACTATTTTTTAGATTCATTTGATAATGATAGGAGGATTTTGCTGCAACCAATCAAAATTTTGGTCCTTCGTTTGGTCAAATGGGGATCCTCAACGACAACCCAACTCCTAGTTCATTGGGCACACCTTTTTGAAGAAGAAGCTACTTGGAAATTTTTTGAAGATTTCAACTCATGCTTTCCTGGTTTTGCAATTTGAGGACAAACCGTATTTTAAGGGGAATGTATTGTCATGAAGGAGAAGAAACACGCCATAATAATAAAAGCGTGAGTCATATAAATACACCTCTTCAATTGTAACTAGGGTATTAATACGTTTATTGTACTATGAAGAAAACTAATCAGAAAATAAAACATGAATTACATGTGTTCTTCCTTTCATCTCTTTCTCAATCTCTTCGCATGTTGTCCGCCATTACTGAGGGCGTGACACTTTCATCGCTACCTGCTTTCCCAAACAATGAATCAATAGTAAAATTTCCTTATAGCAAAAAACAACACAATCTTGGAATTTGAAACTTTACTATCATCAAGAGCATTTTTGCATATCTTATTCAAAAAAGATTAAATAAAACGGAAAAAACACAAATCACATAAACCAAACAAGAATCAAAATGTTCCTCCCTCTCGATCAATAGGAAATAACAAAATAACAAAATCCCAAACCCTAATTATAACATAAGAATCAATATTTGTTAAAAACTTGCAAATGTATAAATCCCTCAAGGCAAGAACACACTCGAAAACATCGATCCATGACCATTCCCATCATTAATTAAACCCCGCCATCAACATCTCATCCGCACCACCCTTGCTGCCTTCTCTGCCGCCAACCTAACAACCCCCAATCTTCCGTTGATCCTTATTCCCCACCGGATTCACAATCAAATCCCCAAACCAATTCTCCCGCCCTTGTGCCGTCGCCACCGTCTGATCCGCCACAGCCACGGCTTCCGCTGCCTTCTTCAGCCCGTCAATCCTCTTATAAATCTCTTTCAAGTTCTGATCAATAACCCAACCAAGATCGTTGAGGTCTGGCAATGGCAGCCCCTTGAGGGCCTTCCCGGTGAGGCATTGGAACATAAGGTGCTTGATCTCCTTCTCCTGATTGTTCTTGTGCACCTTTTTTACCTGATCTGCCACCTTCGATATCCGGCCGCGGACAAATCCCTCCTGGTTCATCATCTTCCTGCTCTGCTCCATCTCCGGCATCCTCTTGAATTGCTCGACCACGCGATGCGCACCGCACTCATCCGGCCACACCTCCGGCTGTGCGTCGTCGTAGGGGCTGTAGATGATGGCGCACGAGTCGATGCCGCACAACTTGCTTAACTCGCTCACCTTCTTGATCAATCCCTTCTTGCGCTTCTTGTACGTCGCCTTTCGAGCCGAGTCATTAACGATGTACGCTAACTTCACCTTCTTACGAGTCATATCGTCGGAAAGGAAAATGAAAGTTGAATTGTGAATATGGCAAGGAAAGCAAATGAGTATTGCTATATATAAAGGGGTGGTGTGGGTGTGAAGAACTAGGGTTTTGCCCTTCGGAAATAATAAGGAAGATTCGGAAATTATGAGGTTGTTGTTTTTGGTAAGAATATTTAATTCATCGTATCATTTCTAATAGTGTACAATTTGGCAATTTAATTTCCTGTACTCGTTTGTTATGTTGTATTTGTAATTTAATTTGGTCTACTTTTACACATCTTTTGCCTGTGCTGGTGTGTGTGTGTTTTTTTTCAATGTCTTTTTATTTTTATTTTTCTATGAATATTTTAAATTTTTGGAAATGATAAAATTTAATTGATATTGACTTATAATATAAAGCCAGGATTATATAGGTATCTCTACCTAATTTTATAGTGATTTTATGCATTAAATTTGGTGCTACTAAATAATAAATTGGTAATACTATATCTAGTTACGATGGAGTGAACGCTCGGATTTAGTAGGTCGGATACACCATCTATTTTTTTTAAAAAAAAATTCGGAAAAATTAATTAAAAGTTTTATTATTAAAAAAAAATTGGGTTCAAATGTTATTATCCAATTATGTTAGGACATCCGATATCAAAAGTTCTTAGAATTTGATTTCAATAACAAGATTGTACTAACCAAATTCTAAAACACGTGCTTTATGTGTTAATTTTAAATTTAGGAATTCAATTTCTTAAGAAAAATGAAATGTACTATTATATGGTTTATTTACTTGTGTTTATATATATATATATATATATTTCTGAAAATTAATTTTTAAATATTATTAGAGTTTTAAGGATTAATCATTGATTGATGTTGGTGCATTGTTCATAACACTGAACGCTACCAAAATAAAATAAAATTTAATTAGCTATAATATTTTTAATTATGAATTTTGTTGTAGTTAAAACGTGTTATTTAGCAACAAAAATTAATTTCATCGCCAAAAATAAATTATATGTTAGAAAATTAATTTTGTCGCTAAATTTTATTGCTAGAAAATTTTATTTTCATCGCAAAAGGGTTTTAGCTACAAAATTATTTTTCATAGCTAAAACTATTTTGCTAAAAAAATCATGCATATTTTGTTGCTAAAACTCTTTTGTTATAAATTTTATTTTTATAGAAAAAGAGCTTTAGTTACGAAATTATATTTTCGTAGTTATCTTTTTACTTAATTCTCATTGCAAAAAACTTATTATTTGTTATGAAAGTTATATTTGTCGCCAAAGACCCTTACTAATGCATTATAGGCGACGAAATGAGTTTTCTCGCAAAAATATTTTTTCTACGAATGTATTCCTTTTTGCTATGAAATTTTTTGTAATTAAATTTTAACATTTTGTAGTGGAAAATAAGATAAAATAAATACGAAACACATAATAGTAATAATCAAATTTACTCTAAAGTGGTTCCTTTTAAGAACTTTTATTAAAAATAATAAATCAATGTCAATTACATATAAAAAAAAAACAAATTGTGTGTGAAGACCTCTCTTAAAACAAAAACAAAAACAAAAAAAAAATTGAAAAAAATGAAAGTTTCGGGAGAGAAGGTTGTTACAAAGAGAATTCCCACGGTTTCATTCATTGAAAAATGATTTTCAATACATTCTTATCTTATATACAAATTGATATGCTAAACCCTATTCTATGCTTACACTATTAATGGGCACAGGCCTAATGTAAATCAAATTTTATATGTTTATGCATAAAACCCGGGTAAATTGGACCCAATATGTTCTATATTCTTCTTCACACACCCCTCAAGCTGAGTAGAAGCGAGAGCCAAGTTCAGCTTGACAAGTGCTCGGGAAAAAAAAAGTAGGACCCAATGATTTGGTAAAAGTGTCAACTAACTATTGTTCAGAAAGACATGAATGAGTTGTATAAAACTAGAGGATGTATGTTGCTGGACAAAGTGACAATCAATGTCAATGTATTTGGATCGTTGATGGTGACTAAGATTATTTATAAGCTGAATGGTAAAGAGGTTGTCACAATACAATAGGATCTGCAAGGGAGGTGGGAGCTGAAAGTTGCGGAAGACATATGACAACCATAGAAATTCTGAAACAATAGCAACAATGGCTCGATATTCAGCTTCAGTGGATGATTTATAGACTATGGATTGTTTCTTAGTTTCCCAAGAAACTAAGAATGAACGAAGGAATATGTAGAAGCCAGTGATGGATTTTTTGGTGTCTAGACAGCATCCCCAATCCACATTAGAAAATGCAATAAGTTGAAAGTCTGAGAGAGAAGGAAAGACTAGTTGGAATGACATGGAGCCTCGGAAATATTGGGGGACTCGTTGTATTGTAGTCCAATGTTGGGTGGTAGGAGCAGCCATGAGTTCTTATAGTTGTTGAACAACAAAAGAGATGTCAGACCGTGTCATAGTGAGATAAACAAGTTTACAAACCACACATCTGTATTTTGAAGGTTGGGACAAAAGAATTCCTCATTTTAATTGAAGTGTGAATCATGTTGCAAATAGTGTAGGAACAGTTTTAAAATTTTGCATACCAAATTCTTGAACAATATCTTCCAAGAATCTCTTTTGAGACACTGAAATCCCCTAAACTGACTAAGTAATATGAAAACCAATAAAGTAATCTGCCTCCCCTCAATATTTAATGGGGAATTCTTGATCAAAGAAGACTTTAAGTCAGTCAATAGTAGACTAATAATTGCCAATGACAAGCATGTTATCCATATAGACAATAAGCGCTATGAAATTTTTTCCTTTGAAAAGAGCAAAAATATAGAGGTCTGCAGGAGATTAAGAGAAGTCAAACTCCATTAGTTTATCAGAGAACTCTTTGTACCATTGGTGAGGCACTTGTTTGAGCCCATAGAGAGGTCTTTTAATCTTACAACGGGTGCTTGGAGAAATAGGACAACTCAGTGGAGGATGCATAAACAGATCATCATCAAGAAATTTATAAAGAAATGCATTGTTAATATCAAGTTGATGGATTTTCCAATGTCTTGTGGCAGCAATGCCATGAGGAATCTGACAGTGACCATTTTGGCAATAGGGGCATAAGATTCATTGTAATCTTTGCCTAATATTTGAAGAAAACTTTTAGCTACTAATCTGGCCTTATACTTATTAATAGAGCCATCAAAGTTGTGTTTTATTCTGTACATCTATTTGCAAGAGATATGGCTTACATCTTTAGATTAAGGAACATTCCCAAGTGCATCTGAGAGTGCTTTGAGTTCCACGTCCATAGTTGTTTCCAGTCTTTGTCCGTATATGCCTGCAAAAATGATATTGGTTCATGCATGCCAACAATTAGAGCGTCATGCCACATTTGGTTACAATGATAGTCCTTTAGCCGAGAACCATAATAGATTTCTTCCTTTATAGTTCCCTTGATGTAATGAATAATATTCTTTGTTGCTTGGAACTGTGATTGCTTTGGAGATTCCATGAATCTACTTATCACCCAAAAACTATAAACAGGATTTGGTCAAGTGGATGTCAAATAGTGCAAACTCCCCACCAAATGCTTAAAGTACGTTCTATTAAAGTTGGGGCCTCTTCACTGGTTTGCAATTTATCATCTTGAAATGCTCAAGAATATTACTAGCATACCTTTGTTGAGAAACAAAATTCTCTTGTCAAATCGATAAACCTCAAGGCTTAGAGAGTAGGACATAAGACTTATATCCATCATATCGAATTCAGGAGTCGTGGCTATCCTGAAATTCTCAATTATTTTTTTACTATCTCCGGTAAATATTAAATCATCAAAGAGACATATGATGAGCATCTCTCTATTTAATCCAATTTTAGCATATAATGTATGTTAAAAAAGACATCGACTAAAACCATGATTTATCAAGTAAAAATCAATGCTAGTGTACTATGCTCTCGGCGCTTGCTTAAGCCATAAAAGGCTTTTTTCAATTTATACACATATTCATCCTCTCATTTCTTGACAAATCCAAGAGGTTGATCCACATATACCTCTTCCTCAAGTTAGGTAGGACATAACCCTTCAGTTCAATCGGGAGAGTGTGATCTCGATGTGGTCAGGTGAAGACTATTTGTTTAGAGACACCCATTGGATCGATATGAATCATCTCCTCCTCTTCCGTTGGGCCAACATGGTACAACATTTCATCTCATATCAGATTAACACGTTTATTTTCACCTATCAGACCATCTTGAATCGACCCATTTGCTTTTGTCGGCTCATTCTTAAATGCGCCTCTTTTACTTAAGTAAATTGAAAGTTCTCTTTCTCGGTAGACATCCACTCCTATATGTCATTCTCATCAAATTTAACACTCGACTTACAATAATTTTTTGGGTGACCAAAGTATACAATTGATAATCCTTGGTAACTCCACTTTAACCAAGAAATATGCACTTTTCACTATTTTCATCAAGCTTATTGCGGATTTTCTTTGGTATATGGGCATACGCAATATAGCCAAACACTCAGAGGTGTGTCACTGATGGCTTTCAGCTTGTCCAAACCTCATGAGGGGTCTTTAGCTCTATTCCTTTAGTTGGGCATCGGTTCAATAAATATGCGGTGCATGCTATTGCTTTAGACCAAAAATACATAGGCAACTACTTTGAGTGGAGTATTGTTGGGATCATGTTGACTGTCGTACAATTTTTCCTTTTTGCAACACTATTTTTTGCATAATGTACCTTGAAGTCAATTGCTCTTTGATTCCACAAGATTTGAAGAACTCATCTCCCATAAGGTATTAAGTGCCATGATCGGTGCTAAGAGTATAAATATAGCTTCCACTTTGCTTCTTAATATAGGCTTTGAATTATTTGCTTTTTAAAAAAGAATCCATGTTCTCTAACTAAAGTCATCAATAAATGTGACATAGTACTTATATCCGTAGCTTTATGATTCAAACAACCCACAAGGATCATAATGAACCAATTCTAACATATTTGAGGCTCTTAATGCTTTCTACGATTGGAAGCTTTCTTTGCATTTCTTTTCGATGACAAATGGTTCATATATTTCTTTTAGTGTTGAGATTTCAGGTAGTCCATGTACCATTTCCTTGTGAGTAAGCAACTTTAGACTATTGAAATTTACATGCCCAAACCATTTATGCAAAAACCATAAAGAATCTTCAATAGTAGCATTAAAGCATGAGGTAGTGTAATTAACATCAAAAGAAAATAGGCGATTACGTGTCATCTCAACCTTTGCAATCAATCCTCCCCTCTCGTCCAAAATTGTGCACATGTCTTCTTGAATGTTGATCTTGTAGTCATGTCCCAAAAATTGTCCCATGCTTAGAAGATTCTCATGAAGACTTGAAACATAGTGCACCTCATATATGAGTTGAGTGGTTCCATCATTTGCCTTTTTTTTTTACTACTATTTTTTCCCATGATAGGAACCTTGGTATTATTACCAAATCTCACATTCGATCGAAAAGTATCATCAAAGCTAGAGAACAATCTCTTGCACGTGTTAGGATAGACGCTGCGCCAGCACCCTACAGACTTAATAAACATAGTTGGATCGTAATAAGATGGTTTATTATGGTAAAACGACAATTCCATAATTTCATAAATAAGTAATTGATGGATAATTCCATAATTGCTACGCCTTAATCCAATTCATAATTATTGCCACCTTAAGGGTTACTCGACTTTTTTAAAGCAATTTGTTCTGATTTTTTTTCTTTTTTTTTTTTTTTTTTTTATAATTAACATGGATTTGCTTTGACTTCTTATCAAGATTTTCAATTTCAACCAATACTACAAAGGAAGACAAAATGCATTTAAGTGATTAAATCAACAATCACTGGACGGATTCTTAAGCATACAACCATACGCTCTTATAGCTAATAAAGAAAGTATGGTGTTCTAATTTGTGTGTTGTATTTCACAGGTTTATTAAGTAAGAGGATTTTTTTATTACATAAATTAACTTATTTTATATTATTTCCTTTCTCCATCAACGGTCGATTCATCTTCTCTTTGCCCGTTGTTACTCGCATGTTCTTTGCTATCATCTTTTCTTGTGTGTGCGTGGTTTTTGCTCAATATTTCTTGTCACCATCGTTATACCGAAAAAATGGTGAAGAAGGTGAATACATCCGAGTCGAGGAAATCGTACGTGCAATCCTCATATGTTCCGAGAAAAAATAACAACATTAATCAACAACTCTCCAGGCTCCAGCCCAATCAACTATTCGAGGAAATCAGAAATTCAAAATAGTTGTTTCAATGACCTTATATTGTCAAAGATATTTAAATACTGGGTCTACTCTAATGGAGTGGACATTGTCAAGAAAGAATGAGGCTATTGAAACAACTACTTTGAATTGCCGATTTCTTCGAATAGTTGACTGGGTTTGGGACTTATTGATTAATGTTGTTGAATTTTCTAAGAACACATGAGAACCGCACGTATGACTCCCTGGACTTGGATAAATCACCTTCTTTGCTATATATATATATTTTTATAACAAAATCTATGAGAAATATTGAGCAAAAGACAAGGCACACTCTGGAGGAGATGATAGCAAAAGCAAGCAACAACGAACAGGGAAAAGATGAATTGACGATTGATGAAAAGATGAAAGAATATAAAATAAATTAATTTTCGTAAATAAAAAAAATCTTCTTACTTATTAAAACTAACGAACTACAACATATGAATTAGAACATTATACCTTCTCTATTACCGGAAATTGGGTTTATGTTTGGTAGTATACTTAAAAATTCGTCCTAACATTGATTGTTAATTTCATTGCTTAAGCACATCTCATTTTCGCGTTGGTTCAAAATTGAAAATCTTGATAAAAAAATTAGAACAAATCTACGTTAATTTTTTAACAAATCAAAATAAATTTGTATTTAAAAAAAAAAGTCAAGTAATCTTGAGGCGGGAATAATTATAGATTGGTTCAAGATGTAACAATTATGAAATTATCCATCATCCATATATCATTATGAAATTATGAAATTTTATTTTACCATAGTAATCCTGATAAATTATAACATGATACAACGACCGATATTAAGTATATAGAGTGTTCAAGCAAAGAGTATAGACTAAAAAAGTCATCAAAAGAATTAAGAAAAACATTAACAACCCTTCTACTCTAATTAACAATCCTTCTACCCTAATTTAAAAGAGAAAATAATAATAATAATAATAATAATAGTCATAATATTTTTCATCAGTCAAATTTATTTTTATTTTTTAGTCCGTTAAATTTATTAATTTACTAATTTTGGTGAAATTAATAAATAAAAATTTGATTACTATTCTTCGTTAAAACACGTATTATATATATATACCAATTCTCCCGACTATGGAGTAATTCCAAAGAAATAATAAAAAAAAAAAAAAATTAAATAAAATACAGCGCCGCACCTTCTGTCCCTCTTTTTTCTTCTTCCTTCTTTCTATTCCCCATTCCTTTTTTCGTTCTATCTTCCTTTTCCTTTTTCTTCTTCAACCCGCCGCTGCTGCCTACGAGATTGAAGGGAAACCATCTTCCATCTTCGGGGGCCGACGAACTCTCAGGGTCCCGTGTAGCTCCGGCCCTGGCTGCGGTTTAACTTTTATGGATACTTCCAGAAATGCCTTGTTCTCTTTGGGACTTGCGACTATCACGTAAGTTGGATTTTCGGGCATGGTGTGTAATCCGTAAAGCTAGTAACTGTCGTCTTTCTACAGTGCCTTTGTTGGATGACTCGGACTCGGACTGTTTCACTTGTAACTCTGAAAGCAGTTCAGAAAGTGATACTAATACATCTTTTAGAGGAAATATCTGTAATACAAATATCATTAGGTTGTTTACCAGTGTTGCTGCTGTGGTCAAGTCCTTAAATTGGGATATTGCCAGAAAAATGCATTTTGCTGGAGCTGTAGGAAAGTGTGGTTTTGATTATTCCCTCATGGCCTTGAAGATGTTTGTACATGTGTACGCTTCTGCTAAGTTAGAAAAGGAAGTGTTTTCGTTGCTTAGAGGTATGGTTAAGTATTATGAGAAGTCTGATACCAGTTTATATGATGCAGTCTATGTATTATTGGATTCGACTAGAGATTTAGAAGGATCCACTTTCATAGTGAATGTGCTAATCAAGGTTTTAGCATCGAATAGGATGCTTGAGAATGCGGTGAATTTGTTTATGCAGGCAAGGAGAATTGGAATTCAACCTGGCATTCGCCAGTGCAATTTCTTGCTCAAGTGTTTGAAAGAAGTTAATGAGAAAAGGTTTCTTTTAGAATTATTCGAAGAAATGAAGCAGTATGGACCATTTCCTACTACATACACCTACACAATTATAATGGGTTTCTACTGCAGTGGATTGGATGGCCGAGTTAGTGTAGTAGATATGGAGAAAGCAACTAATATTCTAGAAGAAATGCAGACAGTTGGAATTATCCCTTCCACTGTGACATACAGCACATACATTCTTGGATTGTGCAGAGTTGGAGCCGTTGACCTTGCTTGGGATCTTATCCACACCTTGAGGCAGGATAACCTGCCACTCAATTGTTACTGTTATAATGCTGTTGTTCATGGGTTTGTGAACAAAGGTGAAGTTGATATGGCTATGCAGGTTTTCTATGAAATGAAGAACTGTGGAATAGCAGTGGATGTATATAGCTTCAGCATTCTGATTGAGGGATATTGTAGAATTGAAAATTTTGATGCAGGTCTTGGTTTATTTGAAGAGATGATTAAAAGTGGCATTAAACCATCATTAGTAACCTATAGCTCAGTTTTAAAAGGTTTCTGTCGAAGCGGGATGATGAAGATGTCATTGGATTGGTTTCAGAAGATGGAGACTTCTGGATATGCATATGACCGGCATGTTTACAATGTTTTAATTTCTGGGTTTTGTGCTCAGGGAGAGATGGATTTTGCAATAAAAATTTTCGAGGAGATGAGGAGTAGTAAAGTGGTGCCTAATGCAGGCACTTATAAGAGTTTGATTATAGGATTCTGTAAAATTGGTTCCTTTGAGAAAGCTTTGAAGTATTTTGATGAAATGACAGGAACTGGTTCTCTACCTGATTCTCTCACCTGCAACTATGTGATATATGGGTATTGCAGCTTAGGGTTCATAAGTGAAGCCCTGCAACTAATGGATAAAATGAGGGACTCGTGCATGTTCCCAAATATATTTTCCTACAGTGCAGTTATCAACCACCTATGTAAAGAGCATCGGTCCGAAAGGGCTCTAGAGCTTATCCCGTTTATGCTCAAATGTAATACTCTTCCTAGTGTTGTGATCTATAGCACCCTTATTGATGGTTTTTCAAAGCAGGGGAATCCTACTAAGGCTTGTATGTTGTACACAAAAATGCTGAAAGTCGGCATACGCCCTGATTTGGTCACATACACAATTCTCATTAATATGTTATCTGCCATAGGAAGAGTGAAAGAGGCGTATGATATGTTCGGAGAAATGGTATCTGAGGGCTTATGTCCCGATGACATTGCTTATACCTCAATGATAGATGGATTTTGTCAAAGCGGAGATATGAAGACAGCATGGGGTTTGTTCCAAGAAATGGTGCAGAAAGACATTTTACCTACGGTTGTTACTTACACATGCCTGATTGATGGGTTTTGTAAGATTAGGTCCATGAATTTGGTCAATATGCTAGTCAATGAAATGAAACAGAAGAACATTAATCCTGATGTGGTTGCCTCCATTGTTCTCATTCGTGGGTACCTGAAGCTTGGTTGTGTTGGTGATGCTCAGAAGTTATTCAATCAAATGAAAAAAAGTGGGCTGCTTTACGATGGAATTACGTTGGAATCATTAGGGAACTGGAGGGTGGGAGTTGGGGAGAGGGCAACCCAAAGGTTCTGGAAAGTAGCAAACGTTGGTGGCGAATTTGGGTATGTTGCAGTTTAAATTGAATTGTATTTTTGTTATATTTGAAACATTAATTTTAGGTTATGCATGAATATTGAGTAAAAACAGCCAAGAAGAATCCAGCAATGTTCTCCATTTGTTTATTCCTTTATGTCTTAGAGGTATTCTTAATTATGTTGTGAAGGTCGGACCGCACTGGAAACAATAGGAAGTAGCTTGACACCTTACACAACGACAATTCAGACCAGGAGGTAATATTTAGCAATTGATTTGGCAAAAAAACTGTTGCAGCGAGATCTCTGTTTCAAATATCGGTAGTATTTTGAGGGAACTTTGTTGTGAGAGTTGTGTCCTTTGTTAACTTGCAGAATGGTTCAAAAAAATCTTTCCGTCACTCAAAGGAAGGCTTTATCAATTTGCATTCTTTCAGCTTCTGGAGGAGTCTCCAGTGTTGAACTGCTCAAACCTGGTTCACCTGATATTGTTATAGGGCATGAGGTATGCCTTTTGTTCTCACACTTTTATTCCAATTGGATTTTATGGTTGACATGATAAATTGTGTGTGAAAAACAGAACTTGTAAAAGAAAAGAAAAACAGGCTAATTTTTGTGAGTATTTCTTTCTATGATGGAGATTTAAGTTATAAAAACTACTAGGAATAATGGTTAGTTTCCCAATAATTTATCTCTATATTTTGCAAAGATAGTTTAAAATCATTTAATTGATGTTGAATTAGAAGTGTGTAAAGTTAAGATGGAACAAATCAAGTGTAATGCAAGATATAAATGATCTATGTGATTATTTTTAATGTCTTCCTTACGAAAGGATTTCATTACATTACTGGTTTCTTATTACCTTCTATACTGCTCATTGTTCTTCAAATAGGGCATTTTGATATTGTATCTCTTGCTGAATCATATACATGTTATGGAAAGAATAGTTTTAATGGAAAGCTCCTACTAAGTGTGCTTTTGTGTGATTCAAAGGGGTTCTTTATGGTGGTGTCACGGGATTTTCACGTAGTGTAGGAGCACCAATCCAAGTAAGATCCTTTTCTTTTTCGAATAAAAAAAGGATAGACAAATATGTGCACTTTAGTTAGCAGCACATGAATGCATTTTGGAATTTTGTTCAATTTAATTATCGCTGATTGATATATTGCATAAAACAAGTTTCTGCGAAGTCAGATACAGAGCAACCCTCCTGTTTTGTCTAATCTTTCAATCCGGATTAATTGTAATAGGTATTAAATTGGCTGATACATAGCTAAGATAAGATTCTTGTATCAAAGTAGGTATTAAATCTCCTGTTCTACACCCCAGTACAAGATCTCGTTATATCACTTTCTCCACCTTTCTGCATTTTCACACAAAATAAATGTGTCGATGCAATGTGTAGTGTCTTTTCTTTTTGTAATTGATTTTTAATTCCTGTTCGATACATGGAACATACAAACTTGTTTACTTGACTATGTATTCAAACTCTGAATGAGAAATCTGAGTTTGTTTTTGGCCACTTCATTGATGCTCGAGTTGGAGTGGGATTGGCCACACATTTGTAGTTTTTGTGTGTTCTTCTTGGATTTCTATATTAGGTTTGTTTATGGACTGCAATTTTCACTTGTGTCTCATTTCAATCCAGCCATGGCTTCCATGCAAACAAGTTTGGCATCAGCTGTTTGCAACAACAGAAACCATTCTATTTTGCGAAATATACTGAGCAGCTCTTCTTGCGGGGGACTGATGTTACTGGTCATGTCTCTACCATTCAAAGAAAGGGTATGTTCCCTTCTGCTTTTTATGGCCCGGAAGTTACTTTGACGTTCTATCCCCCGGCTGACAATAAAGAGATGGTTAAGCAACAGAAGCACACTGTTGATCCCAATGCCCCTGATTTCCTTCCACTTCCTTCCTTTGAAGAATGTTTTCCCAAAAGCACAATAGAATACTTGTGAGCTATTTGTTTGATCTTTTCAGGCTGCATTACCTTTGAGAGTTTATGGCTCCTGACGATGTGATTGATCAATGAAAGTTTGTTGTTAGTCGCTTGTTGATTTGTTTGTTCCACAAAGGAATGATGTGGTGTTTGTGTTTTAGGGAAGTTGTACACTAGCAATCAGGTCATCTGCTGAGAGTTCCCTTTCGTTGAATCCACATATCTGGACATGAGCCTCATTGTGATGCCTGTGATACAAGCAGCCCACAAAACATCAACCCACTTCTTTGTAAGCTTATGTTAATATTTCAAAATAATTGATGGAATCAACTTTATCTTGAGGCATGTTTGCATTGCTTGATGGGATCAAAACAATAATTTTGAAGCAGAAGATAGAAATATATATTTTCTCATTCACTCCAATGTTTTAGTTTGTTTCCATGGATAATCAACAATAGACTTGTATTCATTAAACTACATATGCGGATGCTTAATCATTCAAACTAAGCATGTCTTCGGAGTAATCATAATCTGCCTCTGCCTCTTCAATTTTAGTACCTTCATGCATTTGATTGAAGTCTTGTATAGAATGCTGTTGCTGCATATCACATGGCATTCTACGTTCTCTTAAGTACAGTTATATATATTATATTCCAGACAAGTTATATTTAGTTGGTATGCCTGTTCAGATCAGATACCGTTTTTCACCTTTTTGATGAACAGGTTTTCTGAAATTGAGGAAGGAATGGATTGAAAAACCAGAAAAATTGGGTGGACCTAGGTACTAAAGAGGGAATGATTACAGAGGAGATGGCCTTCTGTCCAGCTTGGGAAAAGCTTGACCCTTCTGCTCCAGTACATCCCATTAACAGCTAAGCAAAAATGACTGCCATTGTTTCGAGTGGTGGATCGATACATGTAAAATGGCGCTTGGCTTATCACAAAGAGAACTTTGCATATGAGCATTGGGATGATATCCTAGATATCTGCAACCAATACGATGTATCACTGTCCAGTGGAGATGTATTGAGGCCTGGATCATTATATGATGCAAATGATAAAGCTCACGTTACCGAATTCTTGATCCGAGGAGAATTGACCCGTCATGCAGGGAAAAAGATGTGCAGGTAAACAAAAAAAAAAAACCTATTAATATTATTGTGATGATTATTGCTCCCTCCGACCCTTTTGAAAGGGACACTTTGGGGTTTTGCAGTAGAATAAGAAATAATAGTATTTTATTGGTTAGTGGAAGTGTGTAAGAGATTTTGACATTTTTGTCCTTTGACTTTTTGTTTAAAGTAATTGTATGTGTAATGGTATGTTTGTAATTTAAGTAAAAGTTAAGGGTATTTTGGTATTAGTGTATGATTATTTTTTCTAAAATTTAAAAGAGATATTTTGAAATGGGACGGACGAAAATGGTAAAAGGATCACTTTGAATTAGGACGGAGGGACTATCTTTTTATTGATAATCAAGGGTAAAGAAGCACTTTTAATCCTACCTGAAAGCCTCATTTCAGATTTAGTTCTATGGTTTCATGATGGCCAATATGCTTTTTTCTTCACAATTTACATTCAATTTAATCTTGATCAATTCAATTAGCACAACACTTTTTTAGTCCAACTAAGACATAGGTGAACCTTAACAATTTGATGGATTGCAGAAATTATTGTAAAATTTTAAAGGACTAATTCCCATTACTTTAGATTGCCAAAACACGTTTTGGGTAGTGAATCGATACAAATTATGGTTGATTTGAAATTTGTTCTAAATTGTCTACAAGGATTGAAATTGGAATGGGATTGTCTTCTAGTAGGACCTAGTGTTCCATCCATGGACCTCTGAGAATTTACCTTGTGAGCCTGTGGTGTGATGTGTTCAGGTGATGAATGAAGGCCAGGCCATGTTCCGATGCACAATATTCCTGAGAGAACATGCTGAAGAACACGGTTACGGGACTGCTGAGGAAGCAGTTTAGCAGGGTATGGAAGCTGCGAGTGCTGAACTTTTAGCTGCAAAGAAAACTATCAGTGGGGAACAGCATGGTGAGGTTGGAGGCAAAATCTACCTGCCTGAGGATTATATAAAGTCCAGGAGCAGCTAAAGGTGAGTAAAATTTATCTCCCAATCACTCTGGAGTCTTGTGTAATTCATAGAATGGTATAATACATGTAAATTCTTAATCTTAATTTAAAAATTTTTTTGTTCCAAATTTTTAGATTTGTGGAACCGTTTTAGCACTTTGTCCTTCCATTTTCATGTAATTCTCTCTGAACAATTTGTGTGGTTCAATTCATCTCATATATGCAGAGGTTTCTTTGAGGTGACTTTACTACATGGCTTGGAACCACCTGCGGTATGTTGCATGGTTGCTGAGTTTAAAATGAGGTGTTCAAAACCTCTCCTGCGAGCAATAGGTGAGTAAGAAATAAATTCCAATGTGTTGAACTTCCGTAAAGAAACATCCCTTATGTGATTGTGGTGGGGACATGAATCGATCAATAATGAAAGCCTTTGTTATCCTACTGTGCTTTTCCGTAGTAACATTTTACTAATCCGTTGATTAATAAAAAAAATATGCATCGGGGGTGTCTGCATCTGCTGAGTACTAAACAGCAGATCAGGCTGTGAAAGTCCCTTTGAACCTCTATAGGATAATTCCTGCTGGAGATCCTTCGCACTTTGTCCCAGCATTTGGTGTCTTCAGGTTGTCTATTATTAGCTCGTAAATTGTTTGTGTTGGTTATTAAGGAAATCTTCACTGTGCAATCCGGTGAGGAGATTCTACTTATTGGTGAAATAGTATGATGTCCATGAGTAAAGCTAAGAGCCTAAGACTTATTATCTTGAGGATTTTAAGTTTAAACTATGATCGAGTATCCCTGCATATAATCTTGTTGCAGTGATAGTGTTTCGAAAAATTTAGATGAACTTTTTGTTGCCTTTCTAAATGTGCAGGGATGGAGTATTTGAAATCTTGAGCTTGGATCCATAGTTTTGTCTGCAGATACTATTCAGGCCTTTGTGTTCTCAACTTGGATCTACAATGTTTTCTAGCCTTTTTTCGTAAGGTGTTTTCATCGTTCCAATGTTTGTGGATCAGATCCATTGTCATCAACTTGGTAGTTGAACCAAGCTAGGGATTAATCTATTGTATCTGTAGAAATTGAAATTTCTGTCAGCATTAAATTTTTGTAGAATTCCTTCATCTGATTTGCTGATATGATGTTCCATCGGGGGTCTTGGCACGCCGGATTGCTCCATATATGCAGCTTTGCTGACAATGGTGAAGCGAAGCCTAGACTGCTTTGAGTGTTACAGCAAATACAGATTTGGATTGAAAATGTTGTGTTTGTGTATAGAGAAAGCAAAAGGCAGATAAGAGAATGATGGAGAAATGGCTTGAGAAATGTTTCAATTTTTCGAGGCATTCTTTAAATCCTATCGTTTTTCTTGTCTCGACAAACATGTCTGTGCGTCTTTTTTATTTTTATTTTTATTTTTTTTTCTTGTTTTTTCGATCTTCATGACAAATGTCTCGATTGCCTTTATGATGCCCTCTATTCATGAGCTACTGTATATGTTCTTACAAGTTCAATTAATACATCCTTGATGAGTCTTTGTCTTGCCAAGTCTTGCATGCTTTTTAACATATAAAATCTCTACAACAGCTCTATATGCTTATAATCATTTTTTTTTCTTTTTTTCTTTTTTTCATATATGTAATGATTGAGTTGGGAATAGGTGCACATTTGGATAGGATTATATGTGATGGCTTAGGCCATCCACATCAAACAAATTTAAAATGGCTTTTTTATTCTTTTATTTTTTACATTATAATTATTTTGCCAGGTGACCAAAGAAATTCATTTTATTTTATACAATTTTCAAAGAAATCTCTTTATAAAAATTTTAATTTCACCTTCTCCCATATCATTAAATTATTTGTTTTTAAAATATTTTAATAATAATATTTTTTATTTAATATATATTTTTTAGTAATTTAATTTTGAATTAATAACAAATGTCTATTACGGAAAAAAAAATCAATATTAGTTTCAATACAATAATTTTTTTTTATCATATTTTAGACAATATTTTGGTTTAGTTTTATTTTTTTTTAGTTTTTTTTATATATTTTAAAATTTATATAGTTGAATTTAAAGTAGTTGATATACTTACAAGTTCTTCTTCTCTCTTTTTCGGCGAACTACTATCATCTTCTTATATCTCTGCGTCTATCCCTTCTTCGTGATCCAACCGGGCTCATGTCTTCTTCTTGTTTTAGGCTGGCTATTAGAGCATTTAGCGATAAATGAGAATAGTGGAGGTAATTCCGTCTTCAACCATAATTGTTGCTTATTTGCAGACCCAATAGAATTAATAAACCATATTAAAGGCTTAACACTATATACTTCGTGAACAAAGTCCATTGGATCTAATTGTTGTCTATATATGACACTCATCCCATGACGACAAAGAATTCCACATAAATCTTATTTTCTACACTCACATGACTACTTCAAAATATAAACTATAAACATGCTTCTATCTGAACAAACCACCTCATAGGTCCAATCATCGACTTTAATTGGTTATATAAGATGAAGTGTCTCAAATATTTTTTTTTATAATCTTCACTATTTTTGCGCAAAATTGCATATATTTCCATTTAAAAATTTTAAAGTGTCATATCCTTCACTTTGCAACCCGTGACAATAAATACCTTTCGATCCACTAACATAAACAATACTGGTATTTCTTCAAACATATAATATAATTATGTTAAAATATTTACACAAAATTTTCAAAATCATATCACACTTTGAAAATATGGCAAAATGTGCTCCATTCATCGAAGGTGGTTTGCAGGCAAAACAATAACACATTTTCCATCTACTTGTTCGATCTCTTTATAGCATCCTTGAACTTGGGAACAATTATTGCATCTGTTGTCATCCAAATTAGTCATTTGCATACAAGTCCCTTGAACTCAACACTTTTCATATTATTATAAAGATGGCATACCCAAAACTTTTTTTCCGATCCTTTTTTTTTTTATACCAAACACGAATCATTTTTGTTTGTTTGATATGAAGATATATGCCTCATCATGTATTATATTTAAATTCCTTTTTAATAGTATAAAAAACTATTCACATACATCACGTGTCTCACAACCAATAGCATAGTCCAAATGAAATAACTCACTATTAGGATCAATTGCAATCGTATTTAGTCGTATAACTTAACATGAACCCTTCAAATGCATCCATTGACCCAATCATAGGTCGACAACCAGATCGAAATCCATGAACAAGTGATTCCAAATATATATTATATTTGCTAAATTATCATCGCTTATTGATAAACTCACCTCCCAACTTCATCAAGACATGTGATCTAGGGATTCAATTGATGCAATGGTTCGGCATAATGGCATAACTTCTCATATTTCTCCTCTGCATCACCATCAATTGCTTTAAGTGCTCTCCTCTTTGCCTTGTATCCCTGTTGATGAAATACATTGCATCTGATATTTTCAAAGACATTCTTAATTTTTTTACACGTTTTGAAGGATTTGATCGAAAAATTAATGGTTTGTATTTCTTTGCGAGCGATGAAGACTTAACATTTTTATTTCATATCACATAAGCACTTATGCTTTGAATGATATATTTTGATTTAAAATGTTGATTGATCAGTCACCTTTAAAGCATTTATTCCCCTATTACAATTTTAAGTTGCACATTGAACATAACTTTATTTTTTTTCAATTTTCCCAAATTTCATAGTTCTCATAGTCACGATAGCTCGATTCTATATGGCCTATTTAAAATCCTTTTTCAAACTAAAGATCATTACATGGGCAAAAGAAGAATTGTACTTGGTAGATAAATCGTAAACTGTGCGTGAATCCATATTTTCTATATCAGATTCGGCAATATTTGGACTGACACCTTGTCCTCGACTTGGAACTTCCGTGGACGACGGTTGTCATCACTCAGTTCTTCATTTTCTTTGCAGGCTTTGTCATGTATACCCTTGTTATGTTGTGCTCCTCATTCCATAACTTAGAGAGTTTGTACGCCACCAGACTCATTCCCTCACATTCCCGTGCCAACTCTTAAGGTGTCATCGGTTGTTACCCCATCACTAACTTAAAGAGACTCAATTGAGTGGACTCGTTACACTAGAAGTTATAATCTTCTTACTATAATCAGTATCACCTTACTATAATCTTCTTATATTGTTCATTTGGTGGCCCTCGTTATTTTGAAGTTCTAATTTAGAACGGGTTAACTTATATAATAAATACTCCATAACTCTTAAAATAGGCATCAAATTCTTTGTTCAAAGAAAAAAAAAATTAGTTTCAATTTACTTCCTCCGTCCCAAAAGAATTGTCTTATTTTTCTATTTTTGTCCGTCCCAAAATAATTGTTTTATTTTCTTATTTAGTAATCATGATCTTCATCATACAACAAAATTATTTCTACTTTTACACAATATTTACAAAAATTCCACTGCAATTAAAAATTTAAAATAACACACAAATTAATTGAATTATTCTATCCACCCTAATTAATATCCTACCAACTCCATTTAATTACTAACCACCCACCCTCGTAACCCTAATTCTAATATTATATCTCTCTCTCATCGCGGCTTCCTTCTTCCTTTGTCCTTCAAGCTCTTCTTCTAGAGCTTCTTCCTTGTAAAAATCTTGCCATCGCCGCTATTTTCGTCGGTGAATCAATCAGAAAACTTAAAAAATGGCTTCTCCTATTCAAGGCAAACCGGATGAGCTGTCGGATTTGGCATTCTCGTGTACTCCGCCGCCGATCGAGTTTTCCAATTTCGGCTTTGGTGACGCTATCATCGACTTAGAAGTCACCGCCGATTCGGAGTCTGACGGTGAAGAGCGGTTGGGTGTGGGGGTGAAGGAACAAAAATATCTTTCTCGTAAATCCAAAAGCCCTCCGTCGCTTTCGAGGCGTTGTTGATGTTTCTTCCAATCTTTTGTCAGTTCGCTATGAATTTGAAGAAGTACCAAAAAGGTAAGATTCGTAGTTGGTTGTTGTTTTAGAAATTGGTTTATCACTATTTTCTTAAATTTACATTATTTGTGTATTATTCATATTAGCATGTTTAGTTATTGATTAAATTTCCTTTTGGTTAGAGGAATCATTTGAATGAAGCTAAAAAATTGGAGTTCTGGACTTGTTCCAAGCACTGTCTGTTCTGCAGGTTACGATTCAGAGGTGAAATGGCTTGAACTTATATTTATATGAGCTCCAACATACTTATATGTGATGCTACATGAAACTTATATGTTTGGGTGTTAAGAGTTTGAGTATATGGGATATTATGATGAGAAATACGCTACTAATTGAGTAAATAAAGATGTCCTATAATCTACAATGTTTTGGAGACAATTCCACAATGTTTGTCACCCATTTTAGATGCGTGCATGTTCCCGTATGTCCAGTTATTCCTATGTCCTATGAGCCATATCTAAGACTAGTTTGATCACATTGTATGAAGATTAATCATAGGTTAGCTCATCTTTTTATCACTCGATGATAAATATATTATATGAGAGTGATCCCCACACCCTAAATCAACCCAACAATTGTTTCATAAGATCAAATTCTATTTACTGATGACTTTAAAGTCTGAAAGTGAACATGTAGCTTGATGATTATAAATGTGAGAGCTATATGAATAATTGTTAATATATTATGCTATGTCCAAAAATGATTACAAGTATTTAAAACCTATTGAAAATAAATTTTACATACTTGTAATCTTATAGTTACAAAATACTCCTACCTAACGGTTTGATGTACGCACAAGAACATCAATTTTTCTTGCAATAACACCGATACTAAGTCATACTCTCTACGAGTGTGATGAACTGCTCAATGCCTGCAACTTCATTACTTCTAAGAGTTGTTCTAATGTGAACATGACCAATTCTTGGTCTACTTCCAAATTGGTCGGGAGTAAACTTTTTTTTGCAAACGTTGCTTTGCCCATATGTGGTATCTTATAGTCGTTGCAACCTTGATACTTGAGAATCTCCGTTAGACATATTTGTAATGTGATGAAAATATTTTTAAGAGTGTGTCTAATAGCTCTTCAAAAGAATTGGCAACGGCTTTTAGTAGTTCTTCCATATTGTAGCTTACTTTTGATACTTGTAAGGACTGCAAAGATCTAAACCACCTTAGATCATTTATATTTGTATTCAGGCTATTAGACGGTTGAGATAACAAATGGCTATCAAATTCATCACTGCTTCCACTTCCCAAAATTCCGGATCATTTTCTTCAATGTAAGGCTTCGCATTATCTTGTTGTATGTAAATTGTCTTAGAAGCATCACGAGACCATCTTTTCTTAATTGTCGGAATCACCTACGAGTACAACTCAATGATGATTAATAAATATTAGGTTATTGCTAAGAGTTGTGCATCATTTAGCCAAAAAAGGATAAATAAAGTGCTTACCTCATATATCTGCTTGGTGACTTCTTTTGTAATTGAGTCCAATGGTTCAATCTCCATTGTCCCAACAACCCTGTTATTAGAATTACGCTTCGTAGGTTCTTTTTTTTTTGTGAGTGGAAAATTTTCAATTTTTCCATAAAAAAACACTCCCCATTGAAACCTTATAGGAGCTTGATACGGCACAAAGGAACACTACCCTGGTAATAAACCTTTTTCTTTGACAAGTTCTATACGGTTCAACCTCATTGAATGCTGAAAAGTACATATCATTCTCTTTGGATAAGTTAAATCATTTCTCATCAATGTGCATGGTGTTGTTCTTCTTGATTAAGCTTGGTTTGATTGCATTTGTATGTACTCTGAATAATCTATTTTTGTACATCTCCCAACACTACTTTTGCTTACTTTTAACTATTTGGCAATGCTCCTATACGTATCTCTTTTGCTGCAATGGATTTCCTTCAAACATAAAAAATAAGGTTGATTTTGGTCTTTCTTTTCCGATTCTTCAGTTTGTCAAAAGCATATTGTTACTATCCTTATGTGGCGGCTTCGTCGATTTTCCACGATGGGGCTACTGTTGGATGAATTTTGCCACAAAAAAATTGTTATTTGATTGAGCTCTTTTACACTAAATTCTTTTTTGCCCATCTTTAAAATGAGAGAACTTGTAGCATTTGTGTGTTACTTAATTACTTATACAAGGTTATTCGGCGGGGAAATGATTTTACATTGGCGGGAAATTATTCATGACTTTATTTTTTTTGGTTTGGAGGAAAATAATGATGATTATGTCACTTATCTAGTTGGATTGTTTCTTATGATTGTATCCTCCAAAAAATGATGCAAAAATAAATTTCTTGATGTATTTTTGTGGAAGTTCGATGTTCCTATAAAATCGAAACATATTGCGGGTTTTTGTTATGATCATCTTGGTACATTTGTTATGTTGTCTATTAGGTTGTGCATATCTACACAAATTTCTATTACTGCTCTTGTTGTTGCCTATCGTGACCTCTTCTGTATTACTGTCTGCCGTGACTCTTCTGCATGAATGTAATTTTATTTTGATTTTTTTTGTTAATAAAAAAATCAAAGTATTTAGTATTTACACTTTATTTTGTTTGTACATATCAAGTTGTAATTATCACTTTAATCTATTTTTTCAACCCTTTGTAAAGTAAAGATATATTAGTCATTTATATTCTATTTCATATATACTTTCAATTAAATATTATTATTTTTTAATTTTTATGCCAACTCCCACTATGATACTTCTTTTGCGACCGAGAGAGTATTAAATAATGCTATGCGAAAAAAAAGAATATAATTTAATCAAATATAAAATTTTTTAAAAAAATATATCTTATGTTGTTTAATCATTTAAAAAAAATTAAAAATAAAAATAATATTCACAGTTAATTTTTATTTAGTTTTTTCTTTTAAACTTTTAATACATTAGTTTATAATTTTTATAAAAATGTTGGTTTTGTTTGTTTGTTGCTTTTAATTCAAAGTTACCATTTATTATTTTTAAAATATTAAATTATATATATATATATTTACTCATTCTTTTTCTAATATAATAGAGAGTTACGATATACATAAGAATTTAGAAGGAATATGATTAGTAAATAATTAAAAATATATTAGTAAAATCAATTACAGTATAATATAAATTATTATAAATTAAAAATAACTAATTAGTTTAATTATAATTTAAAAAAAATTTATAAATTATAAAATATAAAATATAATTAAAGTGTGTAATCCTTTTTCAAAAGAATAAAAGCGAAATAAGATGTGAGACGAATATAAATAAAAAATATAACATTATATGTAGAACGGAGTTATATTAAAAAAAATAACAAAATAAAATCTTAAAATATTATATTTTGGAATTTTAAATATTTATTTTTTTGTATTTATTATTTTAGTTTTGATTGTGAAATTTTGCGCAAATAATGAGTGTGTTTGTTTCACTGCAAAAAATACTACTTCCAATTATATTGAAATCGTTACAAATACTTATTTTTTGTGACAAAAAATTATTTGTGACAAAAAATTATTTGTGACGATTTGGTTACGGATTTTAACTGATATGTTTACTCGAGTTATAAAAATTCTTTGCTACAACAAATATCGTAATAAAATAATGGTGGTCAATGCGCGTGGAGATTATTTTTGTTACAGTTTCATTTGTGTGACAAAAAATAGAATTTATTTTTATAACGAAATATAGTCATAACAAATGATGCGGTGCAAATGTTTGTTGACAAACACAATAGTTTTTTTAATGGAATCATATCGGGGAAAATAATATACAGCCTGTCCTTTGAACAACTTTATGTTACTGTCTAAAGGTAATGCAATTGAAACACCTATATCTGATTAATTATTACTTATAAATATTTTACGAGTGTCTTTATACCTATGATATCTCTCTTTAATCAGGATTAAATTCAAGTACATACTATGCAGGACAAGACTCCTATGTACTTGATGCAACAAACTACCTAATGCATGTTAACAATGTGATTTGATCATAGGCTTAAATCGTTAATTCTTCTCTCGTTCTTTCATATTTTCATCAAACATCTAACTTAAACAATTAAAATATAAACATGGATGAGTGTGTGAACAAAATGAGTGAAAAAGAAGATGATATCTTTTATTTTAATGAAAGTAGTAGATCTGCATTACAAAAACAAGAAATAAACTTGACGGAAAAGAGATTTTGGTAGCCACTGATGGGTGGTCATGGGTGGAGAACCACCATGAGTCCCCTGACCTCCCCTAAAACTATTGAAAAGAGCTTCTTACAGTATTAGCTCTTGAATATAGAATTAACATAATGTAACTAGCAATAGAAAATGAATACGTAAGCGTATGTTACAACGGAAAATCTGGGCACTTATTATAGGCTTATCAAAACGGAAATTGAGTGGTTATTAGACAGTTGGAAATCGTTGAACTTGTTGGACAATTAGGCAGTTAGTCAATTGGCACGGTTGAAACTGCCATAACTCCCAACTTCGCTCGTAGTGCCTTATTGTGATAATCGGTGAGCCTGTCATATATTTTCCTCTTGGACGAGAAAGTATTGTTGATGGAAGGTAAGATGGCACTTGAATCAAAAAAGGTCTTCATAGTGAGTCTGGAATTAATGACTTAACCTTCATGATACCTGCTTTCGCGGAGGTACTTCTGATTTTTGCTGGGAAAAATATCTCTGAGGCGGTGAAAATTCGCGGCCCACAGATACTTAGGAAGAAAATAATTTAAGATAGGATTTTTAATTGAGCAAAGGGATTTTTGCTGAGTGTATCTGTCACGGCTGCTTAACTGAATCTAGGTAATTTAAACCTAAGTTTACTTTAAATTGGACTTAAAACTTAGTAAATCGCATCCAAGGATGATTGGATCATATCAAGAAAAATATATTAATAAAATATGTCATAAATAAGAGATTATTATAGTTTTCACGTAAAAAATACAAGTAATAAATACATTTGAAAGTGAAAAATTTGCTCCATAATTTTGGCTTATCACACCCGTACTCCATAATTCTTTCAACTCAGCCACAAGAGACTAAAGAAACATATCAATGCGATCTCTCAGTATTTTTGGGACCATTGATAATTCTAGAAAATTTAAATGATGGTTGCTTCATGCATATCTAGGGTGATAGATAGTATATTACAAGAACTATAGGCTAAATGCTATAACTCACACTTATATTCCCGAAAGGATTGAAGTGATTAGTGGCCAACCCCAATTGTACATTGTGCAAATGAGAGATGTTGATGATCAAAGCTTTTCTATGCAGCACTATCAGTTGGATGGCGCAATATGTCATCATTGACACGACCTTCAGCACGCCATCGCACGGATGCTGCAATTTTCTAAAAAAGATTACCATCTTTGTAAACGGTACCCCAAGGGTAAGTACTTCATCTTCTTTATTTCCGTCATGGGGCTGCCCTAAAAAATCCTACTTTTCCTGAAAATGACACATGCAAGGAGTTATGCATCCTCTTTTGTGAACAACACATAGTTGTTTATGCATATATCTATACTCCTACAAGTAAAATCCAACTAATTTGTTATTTTGTTTACCTTATAGTAATTCATTGGAAACACGACATCATCCGATATGGTATCCTTCAAAAACTTTAACAATAGGTCAACTGAATTTTGTTTGACCACTAACACAGAATCCTCAAATGCAAGAGACAGGCAATAATTGAAAACTTGCTCATCTTTTTACAGTCAGCTATAAGGTCGTTCTACACCTATTCTAACATATGTTTTTACCATTTATTATTGTTGTCAATCTCTCTTCAACTTGGATGGTATAAGTGTTATATTGATTGTTCATCTCAACTACGTCCTCGAGCACAACACACTCTCGTAATAACACATTTAACTCATCTTCCCAGTGCGATGTACCACATTCGGGAACTGTGTTAGTGTTCAATTTTTTAAAATGAAATTTAAGCTAAATTTCATAATAATGATCAAAATGAGTTAGAAAATTATCAACTCGCTAGAAATAGAGTTAAAATAACCACAAATATCCCTCTAGGTTGGATGATTTTGATCTTATTTCATTAGTTTTTTTAGTATGTTTGAGAACTTCGATGAGAATGAATGACATTTAGAGGGGTAATTAATTCTAAAAATAAGCTTCAATGCAAAAAATCTATGAAAAAAGAAACTGACTCATTAGTTGAAAATAAAACTTGGAATTTGGTCCCTAAACAACCTAACTGTTTAATAGTAAATTTAAATGGCTTTATAAAGTAAAATAAGAAGAAAATGTTGTTAGGTTTACTGTTAGATTATTTTTCAAAGGAATTATACAAAAAAAAATAGAATATAGACTATAATGAAATATTTGCCCGTGTCGCCAAATTTACTATTATTCCTTTTGTCCGAGACCGAAACATTGGCCGAAGAATGCCGAGGGGTGACTTGCAGCGCGCCAACACATAGAGGCTAACAGAGATCCTTTGAGACATTCCGGAACCTTCAGAATGTTCCGGAACATTCTAAAGGTACCGAGATCGCCCCTTGACCGAGTAGCATATTTTATCTGTATCTCTTTGTATAGTTTATCATTATCTGTATCTTGTATAAATAAAGTCTATCTGAGTATGGATATATTTTGGTCTGTGTTAGGCCCAGTCCATTAGAGTGTCTATATATAGGGGAGTCCCCTCATTAGTACTCACTTGAGTTCTAGAGAGCTAATACACACTTTACTTTGCCGTGTGCATCTTGTGGTGTTCTTACTTTCTAGGGTGTTCTTGAGTCATGTGCGAGGCTATACTAGCGACTTTTTGAGGGTGTTGAGGAACTACTAGACCGACTGGAAGGTGTTCGCGGAGGAACCATCCAACCCAGTACATTTTAATGTTATATTTAGTTGCTTATTTCTTTTAAATTTAAATATTTTTTTTTTTTTAAAAAAAAGGATGTTAAAACAACCTTTTAAATGGTGATTTAAATAAAAAATATATATATATATATATGAAATAACTAGAGGGGCTGTAGATAAAAATAAAAAATAGTATTATGTTTGTTTGTTAGACAAGACATTTTAAAACAATCACCAAGAAAGTGGAAATTCATGTATGAAAATTCTAGACTTTTCTAAAGGAAATATATAATTACTGTCTATAATTTTAAAATTGTTGAAAAGCATCTCATTTTCTTCTCATTATGTCGATGATATGTTAATAATTAGTTCTTATTTGAAATTCATGTAACTAAGTGTTTAAGTAATAAATTTGACATAAAATTCTTGGGTGGTGCTAAAGTAATTATTGGCATGAATATTTTAGGGATAGAAAAAATTACAAATTTATTTTAAATTAGTCTAGTTATATTTCGAAATTTTTAAAAAGATTCTCTAAGTGACACTAAGTCTACTTTTGTCCCTGTAGCCTCTAATTGTGTATTAAGGATCAATGTCCAAAATCTGAAACTAATATTGAATATATTACGCGTGTACCATTCTTCAATGCCTATGTTATGTACTTAACGGTTAGTTCTAGATCAGATTTAGCATATGTTGTGAATTGTTTAAATGAAATTATAATTTTTACTAGTTTTGTCTATTTTAATCAAAAGTATTTATTTTCTATTATAGTAAAAATAATCACACACTAATACCAAAATACTATTTAATTTTATATAAATTATAAATATATTATTTCACATATAATTAATTTATAGAGAAGGTACAAATGACAAAATATTAAAATCATTTTACATACTTTACCAACCAATAAAATATTATACCTTTTAATTTACCGTAACATTCCAAATTACTCATTTGGATTGGGACAAAGAGAGTATAAGTCTAATTGGGATATTGAATATTGATATGCTTTAAAATAACTCTTAAGATATCAAGTAGGTATCATTAATGTGAATTTAGTGTAAAATATACACTAATAAGATTAAGTTGAAAGATTTTGTGGATTCAAATCATGCTAATGATAGAGACTTTAGGAAATCTATTATCTTTTATATTTTAAAATTATATGGTCATGCAAGCTGAAAATCACAACTTCAACATAAGTAGCATTGTCCACTACCGAATCTGAATATGTAGCAATAATCAAAGCATTAAAAGAAGTATTGAAACTAAAAGGTTTAATTACTAAAATTAGTTATTTTTGTTATTGTATTTTCAGATTGTTAGTCTATAATTTAATTACGTAAGAACCCTGTATTGCACGATAGAACTAAGCATATATTGTCAATTTTATTTTATATGTGATATAGTATCTATTAAAATTAAAAAAGATTTCATCTGAATTTAATCATGCTAATATGGGCACAAAAATTTTACGCTCAACTAAATTTGAATAGTGTATGAAAACCATATATTATGATATATTTTATTAGTATGTACTATTATTGGTGTCTCATTGTAGGTTTAAATTTTTTATTACAATAATTTTAAAATTTTATACTAACTTTTGGTATATATATATTTTTTGTAGGATAGTAATTCAATGGCCGATGATAATCACAATTCACCCTAGAACTAAAATTAGGTTGAAGATTTGTAGGAATTTGGCCTGTGAAAATATGTATTTCAAGCCTATTCTTATTACAAAGCCCAACACTATGGCTTGAGCCCAAAACGTGTGGCCTACCATCTTAAGGCTCGATCCACCTAAGAATGAATTTGAACATTCGATCTAAGGATTCGATCTCACCCGTTAATTTTGATCTTTAGATTGTAGATACATAATGGTGTGTTGAACTAGCGCCGTTTATTTATTTTTTCATCTCTCACTCTCTCGCTTGCACTCACTGTGTGTAAATCATTCTCTCATTCTCATTTCTCTTTGGAGGTTGTGGTTCTTGGTTTCTGTGTCCATGAGGTTCTGGAATATCCAGCCACTATTTCGACGATGTTAAAACTGTAATCTATCTCTTTTTTATGATGTGGAAACCGCAGCCGCTACTCGAAAATGTGCACTGGGTAAACTCTCGGCCGAACTTAATACCCTGTAATCTATTTTCTTTGTCTTTAGTGGTTGTGATTTGTGTGTAATTTTCTTTTACTGTAAGCTCAGGTTATTTTTTGATTTCTTTTCAAAATGGTAGAAATAGTTTTTGTTGATGATGATAGGTGCCATATTTAGTGTGTTTGTCGTAGTTTTGAGCTCGATAGCATTTTTGGATAATCGGTTATTTATGCAACCGATTAATTGGTGAGTGAAAAATGCGACGGGCCGGTGGACCAAATTAATTAGATTGATTTGGATGAATGGGACTTAGGTTAATATTTTTGGTTATTTTTCCTATTTGAAGACAAACCAAATTGTGCATCCCTAAGTTAAACCTGGGTATATGGCCTAAGTCGCAGTATTATTTAAATAAAATATTATCCTTTGGGTAGATTTATTATAATCTCAAATGAAAGGTTTGAAATTAGAATAAATTACGATCGTCATAAATGAAAAGTTTGTTAGTAGAATCAATTACGACTACCTCAAATAGAAGGTTTGAATTTAGAATAAATTACATCGGTAATTAAAGTTGTAATTATGATCGTAATTGATCTCCTTCCATTTTGGCCAAGTAGAGCCGTCTATATAAAAAGCCTTCCTCCTTTATTCTAGATAAACCAACAATATTATCTCCTCATTCTCTCATCTCTTCTAGCTTTCTAGAAACTTCTCCAACTCAATTCATCTCTCGCTTTCTTCGTCGGAGCTCCGATGATCTGAGGTGTCACTCTCATCAGAGACGAAAGTTTTTTTTATCTTTGGGTTCAAACGCCGGCCACCAGAGGCACTACCGAGGCGTATCTAATTTTCGGAAAGAAGATTCATCATCGACTTGGTTTCACGGTAGACTTAATTTTTGCAATACCCATTTTACTAACAATAAAAAATTATATACTACTTTGCGAGAATGTTAACTCCTACAGAAGTCACCTTCACCGGAGGGGTCTCTGTAATCGCTGCCGGATCCGCTACTGGAACAGTCTTCAGAGCCGCCACTGGAGCTGCCGTCGGAGAAGTTGGCGGAGCTGCCGTTACTGCCGCCGAAACAGTTGCCGAAGCCGCCACCGGAATATTTGCCAGAGTTACCGTCGGAGTTGCTACTCCCTTATTTGGGCCAATTTCCTTTATGGGTAGCCCTGTATTTTCTGGATCTGCCCCAGGTGGATGTGGGTGCTTTTCTAGGTTTTTGGCCGCACCATCTACTACGTTTGCAGCCTAAACTGTTGGTTCTGGACTTGGCCCACGGATGATGCCCCATGTACCAGTCCTACAACCATTCATTAAAGTAGACTTTAAGAGGTGGAATGAGAAGATGCTCTTCTGGCTGACTGCAATTGGATTTTCTATATTCGTGTTGCACGATGGCCCAACTACCCCAGAGCCTGATGCGGATCAGCAGATGCATGCAAATTATGCATCGTGGGCACATGGAGACTACATGACAAGAAATACCATATTATGTAGCCTTTATAACTCTTGTTATAATATATATTGTAAAATAAAGAGAGTGAAAAGGTTGTGGGATGCCCTTGAGAAAAAATATAAGTCTGATAATGTTGGGTCTAAAATGTTTGTTGCTGCCCGGTTTATGGACTATAAAATGGTATATGGAAAGTCTGTCATTGAATAAGTGGAAGAATTTCAACACATTGTCCACTTTTTTATCGACAAGGAGATGCCACTGCCAATAAAGTTCATCATGAGTGTGATGATTGAGAAATTGCGCCCGAGTTGGAGCAACATCAAGCACGGGCTGAAGCATGAGCTAAAGCAAGCGGGGCTTGAAGATCTCTGATTGTTCGAATCAGGAATGAAGAGGACAGCAAAAAGCAGCACAAGGCTAAAGGCGGAGATATTGCTAAAGCCAACTTGGTCGAAGATCTCTCCAAGAAACGTACATGCCCAATTCAAATGGACAAGAACAAAGCCACACAATCCAAGTTTATAGGTAACTGTTTTAACTGTGGTAAAACAGGACACCAAGTTAAGGACTGTAAAGCACCAAAAAAGAAGAAGTTGAGTTCCCAACTTGTCGAGACGAGCCATTAGACTCATCGTGACCTCAATAGTGACGACCTTCTCGTTGTTTTGTACAATACAAATAATGTGAAAAGTCAGAAAGTTTGGTATGTTGACACTTGAGCAACCTGTCATGTTTGCTCCAACAAAACAAACTTCTTGACCTACAAGGAGACTGAAGGGAGGAAGCTGCACATGGGAAATTACGCAACTTCTGAGGTCCAAGGCATAGGGAACGTGGTGCTGAAGATGACCTTTGACAAACAACTAACCCTGAAGGATGTCCTGCATGTGCTAGACATTCGGAAAATTCTCGTCTCTAGATCGCTGCTAGTTAGGCATGGTTTTAAACTTGTCTTTGTAGTAAATAAATTTATATAATAAAACACGATATGTTCCTAGCTAGGGGTTATACTACAAATAGGTTGTTCAAGTTGAATGTAATGGTCGTGCGCCGAACACCACCTACTAATATTAAAAAGAGCAAAAATCATTTTTGGTCTCATTCAATATCATAATTATTAATTTTGGTCCTATTCAAAACAAATTATCAATTTTGGTCTCACTCAAATGAAAATTTATCAATGTTAGTCCCAAGATGGTTGACTGGGACTGAACACGGCCGTGTTGGATGACTCAGAAGGTGATTGGTCATCCCAGGCAGCCAACACGGCCGTGTTGATTACCCTGCACTTCTGAACACGGCCGTGTTGATTACCCTGCACTTCTGAACACGACCGTATTCCTGCCCCGTGTTCTGAACACAACCATGTTCCTGCCCATGTTCTCAACACAGCCATGTTCCTGCCCATGTTCTTAATACAGCCATGTTCTAGGCCATGTTCACGACCATGTTTTCAATATAATCATATTGTAGGTCATATTTATTATTATTTTTATTTTTTGGTTAAAATTATTTGATATATATAT